CGGCGCGGGTGGTGGCGGTCTTGGAGGAGGCGGAGGATTGTGCGGAATGTGACGTGGCGAAGAGACCGCTACAAAAGCGGCTGGTGGTCATTTTGGGGTCCAGAGTGCTGTACCTTCCACCCATGAAGTCCGGGGATTTCTTGCTACACCGATTGTCTTCCTTGAACTAGGGAGTCCATCTGCTGGTGATCCACTCACGTTGGTGTACATTTCTACTGTAGAGGTTTGATGGGGTTGTTGGTGATTCTGCACTCCGATTGCCAGCTGGGCTTGAGCAAAGACCCAAGCATGGCCGTAAAGAGCCGTGCTTGGTTGTCTTGACCTGTGAATCATTGAGTTGGGCTTGCTACACGAAAAGCAACATACTTTAACATGGCTTCAGCAGATCCCCTGAAGCAGCCTGTTTTCCTTTCAGACGTTCTTGAAACCCAATCCTGTGAGGGAGCAAACTGTTTGCTGGAAACAAGTTAAGTAGATGCACACCAAGTTGCAACATACACAAGCATCAGCCCGGGTGCCCCAGCAATTTTCTATTTATCAGCTCAGACATGACACGTGGAGCAAGAAACACGCGGAGCCCACCACATGGCTGGAGCCAATCTTCTCCGCCATGGAGACCGAACGTCAAACCGGTCCGGGAGATGTGCCCGGTCCGGGGCGCAGGACGGACGGCAGCGGTGCCTGGCAGGGGAGCTTGCTGCAACTTCAGGTGGGTCGTCGTAGCTACTAGTAGCGTCCTTTGCTCCTAGTAGTAAGGCACTTGTTTCTAATAGCTTCTTGTTACTACTAGTAAGGCACTTGTTACTAGTAGCGATGCACTTGTTCCTAGTAGCGTCCTTTGCTCCTAGTAGTACGGCCAGGAGCCCCTAGTAGCGTCCTTGCTCCTACCAATGATATTGAATGATAATGGCTTCGATGGGGTCCATCTAACCTTAACCTATAGATTAAAATTAAACTCTTGCCATCTCTTGCCAAGTATGGGGCGTAATTACCCTAATAATTTATTAGTTCTATCGCCACTTCATTCAGGACACTTGGTGCAGGTTTTAGACCAAGCAGCACCCCGGTTGTACAAAAGCCTTGCAACTGACTGCAGCTGGTGGATATCTTGTTTGAACATCAACACCAGACGATGCTCAACTGTCAGCATAGCACAGCGGGCTGTGCCGCCCACGATCTCGGTATTTGCCCCATGCACGCCGGCTCGGTCATGGAGCCGGTGGAGCCCAGAACCGGACAAACAGTTGGATTTCCGAGGAGAAGCGACCGACATGGACCGGATTAGACAGTGAATTCTCCACATGTCTCCAAACAACCATATACTACCGGGTATATACCTCGTGTATCCTCGGTGGTCTCGTCTCAGCTCGGAACTCGCTGGTTTCCGCGGGTTTCTGCTGGTTTGTGCTGTGCCGCTGGTTTCTTCGCAGGTCGTCGGCTTGGATGGTGAGGGTCTTGCGTTGCGAGTTCCAGAGTCCCTCACGGGACAGCAGCTACGCAAAATCCTCCGTCGCCTACTGCCACTGAGACACTTGGACGCAGCGTGTTTGGGGTTCCATGTTGTTGGGCTTCATGACAATCTGAATTGGGGTCTTGGCTTTTGAGTCAGGTTGAAATCATTCCATTAAGAGATCAAAACAAGTATGCTCAGATTCCATTTGCAAGTCGGAGCACCAACGAGGAGCTGGATTCCGAGTCTCCCTGCAGAAGGGATCCGAGATGCTTTCTTCCAAGAAGACGTTGAAGGAACAAGGACTGAGCGATGCTTCCTCGGTGTCCTACTTGTATGAGCCCGCCAGTTTGCATGATGCTTGGAAACTCCTCCATTCGGCACCGGTGGAGGATAGGTTTGCGGCTTTGGATGGGCTTCGGCATTTACAAGGGATCTGGAGCTTGAATCAGCTGAGAGAACTTCCTGAGAGCCTGCAAAGTCTGCAGTTCGCCCAGAAGTTCAACCAATCTTTGGAGCGGGGACCAGCACTGCCCTTCGGCTTGAAGGAACTGGCCTTTGGCCATTCTTTCAATCAATCTTTGGCGAAGGTCAATTGGCCCAAAAGCCTTGAGAGTCTGAGTCTTGGCAATGAGTTTGACCAAAGCTTGGACAAGGTGACTTTGCCCAGCAGTCTCTGTAGTCTGACCTTTGGCCGGGATTTCAACCAATCTTTGGAGGAGGTCAAATGGCCTTCCAACCTCGAAAGCTTAACTTTCGGACATGATTTTGATCAGAGCTTGGTGAACTTGCCCAGCAGCCTTCACCATCTCACCCTCGGCTTTCATTTCAACCAGACTTTAGACCAAGTGACCTGGCCCACCCTTCACAGCTTGACACTGGGCTACGACTTCGACCAATCCTTGGATCGAGTGGCTTGGCCCAGCACCCTGCAGAACCTCAGCTGAATGGATGGTGGACGCGGGTCAGACATAAAACACTGACCATGTGGTGAATGGACGGGGTCGGACAGTCTGAGGTGCCCGAAAAACACGCCTTACGGTAGATGGAGAACATGAGTCAGGTTTGTCAAACCTTCGGGTTGTCATGGGTTGTGAACCATGTTCAAGGTAACATGGCTAACATGACCTGCGCCATCCTGTGCCATCTACTCCTCTTATCAGGTCACCTACGGCCCACCAAATGTTGAATGGCAGTTGACTTATCGTCGAACTGGCTGAGGAGTCTTACGTTTGGCTACAAATTCAACCAGCCCTTGGATCGCGTTGAACTGCCTCCCAGCTTGAAGACTTTGATCTTCGGCAATGACTTCAACCAGTCGTTGGAGCGAATCAACTGGCCCAGATGCTTGGAAACTCTGACCTTTGGCGGGCACTTTGACCAAAAACTGAGAGGAGTGACTTGGCCCAGCGGCCTGCGTAGCTTGAGCTTCGGTTTCCGTTTTAACCAGACCTTAGAAGACGTCAAGTGGCCCTCCGGACTTCAGAGCTTGAAGTTGGGCTTTGCTTTCAATCTCGCGTTGAGAGGTGTCGATTTTCCCGGCCTGGAGACTTTGGCCTTTGGCTATAGATTCGATCAGACTTTGAAACATGTTTCTTGGCCTCGGGGCCTCCAGAGTTTGACCTTTGGCTTCAATTTCACACAAAGCCTAAGCCAAGTGGCTTGGCCAGACAGCCTCGAGAATCTCATCTTTGAGGGCAAGTTCATCGAACCTTTGGAAGAAGTTACCTGGCCCAGCAGCCTCAAGAGCTTGACTCTGGGCGTCGAATTTGACCAGCCGTTGGAAGGAGTCACTGAGCGAACATGTCGAACCTGCTTTGTATTTTTTTTTGGGTTCTTCAGTCTACGTCTATGTATATAATGTTTAATTTATAGTGATAATTGTAAGGGCTACGCCCCCTGCAGCCGAACCCTTGGTCCGGCTCAACTTTAGCATCTGAGAAACCAATACGAAAAAAGCTTACCGACAAAGCAACTGGGACCGGTAAAACATCCAAGTTCAATTTGATTCAATGGAATCATGTGTAAGCATTTAAATGAAAGAGCGGGATTGTGGCACCGTCACATGTCAACTATGACGCCTAGAATGATACATTCACTTTTGATTCGTTTGGTCACTACAACTCCTACACAGGACGACTTTGATGATCATTCTGTATCTATCTCTTATCCAGTACCCTTGGCTGATTTTCCGCTTGCCATGGGAGGTCCGCGCCGCTGTGGCATCTGCCGCAGCTTCACTGGCAGTGAGCGAGCCCGTTTGACGTGCCGGCAGTACCTTGGCGGGATACAGTGTGTTCCGTCGGGCTGGGCTTCATTGTGCGGAATTGCTGTGAAAACGTCGGTGAGTTGGGAGAGAGGGGTGAAGGGAATGCGGCTTGTGAGGTTGCAGCTACTGGAGCGGGCGCAGCTGCTGAGCGCTTGTCTGTGCGGCGTGTGTGCAGGCAGGATGGTTTCGCGGGAGGAGATGTTGCGCTGCAACGCTGAAGCAAGTTCACATAGTGCATGTGCAGTGGCTGCGATCAGCGCTTGGTTGCCAGTTGGTGTTTGGTGGCATGTTTGAACTGATGTTTAATGGGCGTGTGGAGGCAAGGAAGTCAGATTTTGAGGTATTCCTGTTTTGAGCTGGCTGGCGTTAATTTTTTTGATGTGAAGCCGTGAGGTGGTGTGCGCATGGCGCAGCGATGCCTTGCATTTTGTCGATGGTGGGCTGGATGTCTAGTCCTGGTGCTGCAGCGCATGTATGCGCCAGTCCGACATGAGACGCCTGGCTGCCGACGGCTGTTTGGTGAGCGGGGTATGGCAAATTGGAAGGGCTGGTGGAATGGCGCGTTCAGGGCCAGGTAGAAGACTTGGGATGTTTAGGAAGAAGATGTGATGTGTAGTGTTGTGAGTTGGGGAGAGGCTAGGAAATCTTGTTTTCAAATTTTTATGATGTATTTATGAGAAACTTATGAAGCGCATTTATGAACATTTTTTCCTTGTTTTTTTTTGAAACTGTTTTTTAATAGACTATTTTATAATTTCTTGATGTGCTCAACATATCTTAAAAGTTTCATAAAAACTTCTAAAAAAATTAGTAAAAATACACTATTCATAAAGATGTCGTAAAATTTTCATATTTTTACAACTTTCATTAATTTATGTTTTTTAAAATGATTTTTTACGATTTGTAGAGAATCGTAAAAAATCATAAAAACATAAAAACAAGGAAAACATTGAAGATTTTATGATTTTCAATATGAAATATTTATGAATATTTTTTAATGAATATAATGAATGTTGTCGATTGGTGAAAATCAAGAAAAATACTTTTTAAAACAATCATAAGTCATAAAAATGGAAATTGAGGACCAATTAGCTTTCTCCAAATTTTCATCAAAAATCATTCAAAAATTAATCAACTAAACCATTCTCTGGCTGTCTTCCTGACTCTCAAGTGTAGTGGGTGGTCAAAGGTGGATGTATCATGTGGTAGCCAAGGGAACCATTTGGATTTGGGTTGGCGGTCCTACGGGGAATGTCCGGTGTGTTTGTATGTTTGCGCGCATGAATTCGACTTGGATCTTAGAGGAAGCACTGTGCCCAACGGAGCGTGGTGGTCAGTGATGTGGGTGCAATGGATGGGCGAAGACAGGAGAATGTAGCGATTAGGGCGGTCATGAATATATATATATATATATATAAAATATTTAAACCAACGGCAGTAGCCTCAGCTTCTTGTGGCAATGTCATGAGCAGACGTGTTTCAATCGCGTACATGCATGGAGACATGTATATGTAGCAGCTTCATGCGCAGACGGAGAGAAGTGGAACGATAGGAGTTTTGTGTACATCCGTGTATAGCTGCGTATGTGCAAGTCGAAGTTGGCGCCTGTGGTGTTGCAGTTCTGGATTGAAAGTGTAGGCTTTGGAGCGCGCAGTTGACGAGCTTGGCGCAGAAGGTGGCCGTTACGAGGGGTTGGAAGTTGGCGATTGAAGCTTAGCTTTGTGGGGTGGCGGCGTGGATACGGAGAGTAGCTTAGACAGATTAGAATCACCGATGTGGCTGTGTATCATCGACAATGTTCCCCTCGTCATCCTTGATGAACGACCGTTCGGGAAGGCAGTTGATGAGGACCACCCATAGGCTCCTCAGGATCCGATTGCAAAAAAACGAGAGGGACCGGACCGCAAGTTTTTCGAATGTGGATGGCTGGGGGTACTGTTCACCAACTAGTTGGTGCTTTGGTCGACGTTTGTCATTTGGCCCAATATTCTGGATGATTGACGCGTACGTGTGGCATGGGACAACTAGCCACGAACCAGCAATGAGAAATATCGACCGCTCACCAATTCAATATGGTTATGAGATGTTATAAGTCACTAACCATTAAGCCCATGAACCAGAGAAACTTTTATCTCCAACTGCTGCAGCGAAACGTGGTGAGCACTTGGGCGATGGCTACGTTGGGGCCGCGTTTCAGCCGAGTCGAAACAATGATGTCAGGTTGGGTCCTCTACGCTGGTGCTCCCATCGTGAAGCATCGGCTTTAAGATTTGAACCACTTGGTTCATGATAGGGGTTAGTTAGATGGTTCATCGGTGGTCCAATGACGGTTCAAAATTAAGGGCGACTGGTGGTTGATCGTATTGAATGGCCAATGATACGGTTATGAAATTGTGATTGTTTAGATAAAGAGGCAGAATGAATGCCACAGACAATGCGAGACAAAAATGCGCGAAAAAAGCTAATGTCTATGCCAGATAGAATGGCAGACAACATGAAATGGCAGATCTTGCAATCGTGGGTGACGCTGATTTCTGACTTGTGGGATGGTGCGCAACTGGGTAATGGACTGCAGTTGCTGATCCAGACTTTTGGATTGGACGATTGGACACCTTTGCTCCGTGGTGCAAAATGTGGAGCAGAGATTTTTGCCGGAAGGTCGGAATACGGTTGTGGCTCGCGATTGTTTTCCTAAGTGCTTGGCCAGTTGCTGATCCAGACTTTGGATTGGCGGATTTAAAACTTGTGCTTCATCGCGCCAATGTGGAGCAGTCATTTTCCATGCAAAATCTTGGCGCCTAGCGGCCGTGATCGAAGATGCTGGTGAACTAGAAGTGTTTTTTCAAAGGGGGGCGAAGCATGAGAGCTTGGTTAGTCAAAGTTCTGTGTAGGGAGTCCGCGGCTTGCAGCAGACGCTTGTAGAACTTCGAGCATTTCCGTGTGACTATCCAACATGGCGAGCCCGGTTCGCGCTGAAAGCGCAGCCGGTCCCTGAGACCAAGGTGAAGGCACGGTGGGGGTGACAGACAAATGTTGCAAAGCCGTTTTTGGTTGTGTTGCGTTGGTGGATTGTGGTTTTCAGGGGTAGAAATGTTGGGGTCCGCAGTTGGGGGTGAGTATGGAGATTGAGCCATGGTTTTGTGAGTTACAGCTGGCGTTGGCAGGACATTGCAAGCCTGCTGACGTTGGAGAAGAGCAAGTATGCCAACATCACGCTCGATTTGGTGGTCGTCAACGTGAGTGTTTTGCGCACTGCGGCCAGCAAGGGAGTGTACGATGTGTCTCAGCGAGAGCAAGGGACTTGGGGAATTCCACAGGAGCTGGTATCGGTTCCATGTGCTTTTGTTCGTCAGCAAGGGAGTCGAAAAGATATGTGCAAGTGTTTCATGGTTTGGTTGTCGGGGCCAGAGCAAGTTGCGAGGTAACCTTTATAGCATGACTTGCACCACCGAAAGAGTGTTGTTGTTGGGGACATTTTTTGTCAGTATTTGAGGGCATGGGGTCATGAGGAAGAGAGTGGCAATGATGTGGAATATGTTGTAGCAGAGATGGTGTGTCGGTGTCTAGGGGAGGTGGCAGAGCACGTATGTTGTACTGGGTTTCATTTTGACTGGGGGGTGTTTCATTGTGAACCTTTGGGGCGTGAGGTGACATTGGCAGACTGCTGTGCGGAACGGTGTGTGGCGCGAGCGCGCGCAGCTATGGGGGACTGCAAGCGGCCCTGAGTCTTGCAGAAGAAGGGTTCCCTCAAGTGCATGAAGTGGCTGCGAATCCGTTGGCATGGAAACTCGAGGGCGCTGATGAGAGGGTGCTGACTCTCGGGGGCGCAAAGACCGTTGCCATTGACCCGTCGCCAATCTGTGATGATTTCCAAGTGCTTCAGTTGTGGAAGGCCAGCCAGATGGGAAGTTCGGGTTGAGGCAACCTAGTGAAGGAAAGTGCAGGTAGGTGATAGTAGGTCATGAAGCTAGTCAGTGCACAGGGTTTTCTATGGTTTGGAGAAAGTAGATGGAGACTGTGGTGTCAAGCGCTGTGCAGGAAAGCTACATTCATCTGCGAGGCTGGGTGACTTCGGTTGGCGCCGTTCCACGCAGTCGGGAGAAGACTTTGGCCTACCAGGACGGGAGGAGTCATGCTGTGAAGTGTCTAGAAGAACCCGGTAGCATTTTTAAACGTCATTTTGTATGTCAACCACTGTTGCGTATCCGGTGTTTGTGTTGTAAGAAAATTCCCATGTTGTCGAAGTAAAGTACTGAGCCAGATGTGTCGAAATAGATCTGGTAATATATGCGCGCATGTATATTGCTATATATACATGTGAGCGCCTTGTACGGAGCTCATAGGGCTCCAGGAGTTTTTGCTGGTAGACGCGGCCGGGCTCGCAGTGTCCTGTATCGCTCACGACACAAGTGCCGGGGACGAATCGCTTGAGGCGGGTAGAGCAGGGGGCAGGGTAGCCGCAGCCAAAGAAGTACTTACGAGGTTCGTTCTCCCAATGGTCATGTGCAGCATCGGGGAACAGCTGTGTGCCTCCCCATGCATTCAGCAGCAAGCGTTTTAGGAAGTGATAGCGGTAGGAAAGATGTCCTTGTAAGATCTGTGGTACCAAGTAGTGACCACCTGCGGGCCAGCAAGGTGCAGAGATCACCGCTTGCTACTTGTAGAAGAACAAGGGCAGCGGGAAGAAGAAGACCGTGCTTTGGGCATTCAATTCATCTTAGGTTCCGAGGATGGCCGCTGAAAAGAACGAGTTGTAGTAAGCGAGTGCGTGTAGCACAGGGGGGACTGCATCGGTTCCTGGAAGGTCTGATAGAGATTCCCTTTGCTGAAGATGGTATGCAGGCCTCTGTAGCCAGCCGGTTTTTGATGAAATGGACCAGCTTTGACTTGTCCAGTGCGCATACTGACACGTGCAACACGAACTATACTGATCGGCTATCTTCTAATGCAAACACAGCTCAGTTTCATCCATCGCGAAAAAACTTTTCCTTATGCTGCATCAGCGCCGAAGTGATACAACTTGGGGCCCACCCACGAAGCACGCGAATTTCCACCTGCTCTCTATCAGCGTGCGCGCTCGACAAGTGAAAGCTAGTCCATTTCATCAAAAACCGGCTGGCTACAGAGGCCTGCGTACCATCTTCAGGTTAGGGCCCATTATAATTCATATCAATCCACCCCGAATGACGACCAGCGTTATGCTTCATGGTGTGTGAATCTAATCTGATTGTTTTTGAATTCTACGTATGTGAACCAACATATGGAAGCTATTCATGCCTACAACATCCATGAGTATCAGGAGCTTTCGTGGGTTTGATCCATCAAAAGCCGGGGTCCATGGGGATCTTCCAGTACACGGCCACAGCTGGCTTGACAGGTAAATCTCGGCCCCGGTTGTTGCAAAGCTACCAGGCACCGAAGGCCAGGGGAGGAAGTTGATATGGCTATCTGCGTGGCTAAGAAGCATCGTGATCCCCACTTAGGTGGTTTCCGGTCGAGGTATTCCATGCTTATCCACACACTTCATCATCGTCATGATCATCGTCATCATCATCATTCCCCACTGCTGTGTTGCAACGTGAGTAGATCGACTATAGAGCAGGAAGCTTTGGAGTGAAACCTTTTCAGTGGAGGCTTGTTCATCGTAGCAGTTCGGAACTTCATGAGCAGTTCAAGTGCGTGAAAGCAGGGCGAACATTTGGGTGTTTCTAACAATAGGGGACTCCTAAAATCACCACAATTGATCATCTAAAACAACTATGTGGAGATGATTTTGGGGCCCCCTATTTTGAGAGACACCCATGTGCAGGTCAAATGGAATTTATCTCCAACAAGGAGGGAGAGTTAGATGCAACTCCTCGCCTATGGACCCTCCACATTTGTCTCATCTCCCCAGAGCAGTGCCGCGTTATCAATCTCATCAGGTGCTAATGGCTCAACTGTTTTCAAGATCGTGATCACTCCTCGGCAGTGCCTGATCCTCTTATATATGTTGTGAGATTTATATATATATATATATGCAGATCGTATATCAATACATATACTGGCTGATGGTTTGGCGCATGTGTCTTTATAAAGGAAATGCATGGTTGACTTATATTGTTCAACTGGCTTGAAAACAGTAGACATATGTACATATATATATGGCTTCAAAAAATATATGTATGTATATACGTTTGTGATCGGCAGATGTATGTTTATATATATATATAGACATATACATACATATGTCTGTATTGCAGAGAGCTGAGCGTTAATCCCATGGGTTTGTGGTCTGTTTATATGGGACAGCGAGTGGAAAGAGAGAGAAGAGAGAGGGCCAACAGAGCGGCGCCCGAAAGCTTTGTTTGGTATGCATTTTGTTTCGATTTCGGGCCCTCCTCTTCCATGTTGCAACGGATGGGCCAGATGCACGTGAGATTGGCTAGGCTTCCAGTGGCGCCCAATGTGGCGTGGGTTGGCAAACCCGATGGTAGCCGCTGCAAAATGGAATGGAACATGGACGAGTGGGAGCTGATTGGAACACATAATGCCATTTGTGAATAGTGGCAACAGAAAGTTTCAATCTGTAGATGAGAGCTGTGAGTATAGGATTGGTGCTGAGCAACAGAGTCATCGCGTACGGAAACATGAGAAGACATTCCGATGACGACAAATGTTGACATGTATATACGAACGCATACGGTTACCTATATAGTTAAAACGCACGTTGTTTTCCTGTACATGTATATAGCTGTACGAAATGAAATACCAATGTAGCCCCAAACTTTGTGGCCGAAGATTTCAAGGTGCTCAATTGCAAGAACACGTGTATTTGTGGCTTTCAGCCGAAGACGCGGACTGCAAGACTAAAGGCTGAAGTGCATTGCCAGCAATGCAGGTGGTGTTGACCACGCGGGCGTGAACTGCATGTTGCCTACCGTGCTGGCAAAAAATGCACGCTCATGGCGGGTTCGGCCCGTGCCCTTCGGGGTGATTTCTGGGAACAGCCTGCGCCTTTTGGTGTGTGTGGTGTTTCCGTTGTTGTTGCTGATGTTATTGTTGTTGTTGTTGTTGTTGTTGTTGATGTTGTTGTTGATGTTGTTGTTGCTGTTGCTGTCGTTGTTGTGGAATGGGACATGGACGAGAGGGCCAACAGAGCGGCGACCATCAGGCTGTGGAACAAAAGCGGCGCTTCCGGCGCGCCTGCAGAATGTCTAACGCTGCTTTCGGAGGCCGTCAAAGAAGTTGGTGAAGCGGCTTCGAGCAGGCCCTAGCCAAGGTCGAAAACGCAACCTTTTTGACAGCGAAACACCATCAGGACGTAGAACGAAAGCGGCGCTTTCGGAGCCCGTAAAGAAAGTTTGAAGCAGCATCGAGCAGGCCCTTTCTTATGCTTTCGGAACTTTAGAAAAGCTTCAATCCCGCTGTCTGGAGCGTCTCACTAGCTGCCTGAGTGCCTCATCGTGCTGAATCCCGCTGTCGGAAGCCCTTGAACAGCTTCAGCTGCCCAATGCAGCCTTCGCAAGCCGTAGAAAACTCCCAGACAAGCTCGTACCTTCAACACCATGCTCGTACCCTCAACAGCATGAGGACTCATACCTCCTCTCACGCACTCCCCTTGCGGCAGCAGGGGGTCGGCGGATAGTGATCTATATAGTTCTATGAAATGGTAAAATAGGATATATAGTATATTCCTCAGCAGGAAGAGTCCACTCCTTTGGAACTCGTGAGGGAGCCGTCTCAGACAAGTGATGCCCCAGAACCGCCCCTTCACGAGCCCGAAGCCACAGGCTTTCCGAAGTCGCCCGAGTCACATGAGACCCGTTTTGGACCGTCCACCCGAGTCCCACGGTCGGGTTTCTTCAAGCGGCCGTGGAGCAGTTTGAGGTGAGGTGGCCAAGCAGTTTGAAGAGATTGACCTTCGGAGAGCATTTCAACCAGCCGTTGGAGCAGGTAGCTTGGCCTGGCCTGGAGACCCTGACGTTGGGCTCTGCCTTCAACCAGAGTTTGGAGCAAGTGACTCTTCCCAGCAGCTAGGCAAAACGTGAGTGTCTTACGTGAGTTGTTCTGGCTTCAGATCATGGATTTGTCTATTTTGGATGGCGGTCTTATGTAGTGCCACCCAAAATTGATAGAAGAGTTGACAGTGGGTTCGTTTTGAATTCACGAGCCCGATTCATTTGCCAAAATTCATGGACTCGTATTTTTGGGGGTTGTGGGTCACGGCTATTCAGGCAGCCTTTTGTCCGTGACCTTCGGCTACAAGTTCAACCAGTGTTTGGATCAAGTCGCTCTACCCAGTAGCTTGCGAAGTCTCACATTGGGCGATTGTTTCAACCAGGTGTTGCAACAAGTGAGATGGCCAAAGAGCCTAGAGAGCCTGACCTTTGGTTTTGCTTTCAACCAGAGCTTGGAAGATGCAGTTTTGCCCTGCAATCTCCAGTCCTTGACGTTTGGCGCCCGATTCAATCAGTCTTTGGAGGAAGTGGCTTGGCCCTGCAGCCTCCAGAATTTGACGCTTGGCTATGGCTTTAAACAAAGCTTAGAGCATGTTGCCTGGCCGCGCAGCCTCAAGCACTTGGTTCACAGGGAGCTGGCCCTGTCTGCCTGAGGGCTTTGCCTGAGGGCAGCTTGTTTCTGTCGATGGGAAGACATCCCGCACCGGCATCACTGGTTTGCAATCACGGTGAATGTGCAGTATTCTTTCCGCTTGTCCCATTCCATATAAGAGATTGTCACATTCTTTACCACATGTTTTGGCGACCTTTCACCATATCTTTGTGGTCGTCTCGAATTAGACGTGTGCGGGATGTCCTTCGTTGCGGCGGGATTTTCCTTCGCCACCGGTGCCACGAACTGCCGCTTCTGAAGCGTCGACATCCTCTTCCTCTTTTGGACACCCAGTGGGCCAAAAGATGTGACAGCGCACATGGAGGAAGAGCATGGTTTGCATCCAAACCCCTAGCTCAAATTTTATCCATTGGTAATTTCCCATCTATAAGTTTGGTATGTCCGCCTTCACCCAAGAACCTGCTAATGCAAGGTGGTAATTATTCTTCCTACTGAAGGAAAAAAGATACTGGCGCTGACAATGTGAACACCTCCCGCCTTTAGAGTCTAGGGTTGTGTAATACCGGCAGCTCTGCCAGAAAGCGACACCTACTTGTACCCGACTAGGGTGGGCTGGATGACGATGTCGACTAATATCGGGTCGCGGAGTGCCTCTTCGTCACTGAAGCTCAGCATGAGGTGGGCTCATCTTCAGCAAGTTACCCGGCAGCTTGCGACACCACTGCCGAGCCTGTGGTAGGCGCGAAGTCTTTGTGGCGGTGGCGGCTGAGATGCTTGATCTTGGGGATTTGCGTTTGTTCTGCTTTTTAGTGCTTGAATTACGATGTAGTTGGGCTATTTAGGCAAGATCACAGTGACTGAAGCGGCGAAGCGGGTAGTTCTTCAGCCGTCAGCCTTTTCTTCGGCAAGGTGATGAAGTGCACTCCTGGAGGGCCAATGTGACCAGGATCACTATATATATCACTATAAATCTATATACTATGTGTACAATTTATTGTACAGGGAATGATGCTGGGCCTTGCTGGGTGGTTGCCCAACCCAAACCTGTATGGTTGCGAGACCCCCAGTCAACGACCATACGAAAAGCCTTCAGGTTATATATCTTTGGATTGCTGAGTGGCTGAAGGGATGCCTTGGGTCATCACTCCGAGGACTCTATCCCATATATCATTAGTAGTACTCTATACATAGAGGCCATTTTTTTCGGATACCGTTTTCATACACCGACACGTCGGGACTGCCACGCGCACTGCACGGGCTCGCAGGTCCCTGTGTGCGGTGTGCCTGTGCGGTGTTGCCAACTGCTTGGTCAATGCAGCACGGTGCCCCCACAAAGCCAGGCAGGTGCGATGTGATCTTTGTTCGACCAGCAATGGCGTGGTGGAGTTGAAGATGGGTTCTTTTTCTTTTGGCTTCCAAGGCTTCCACCCTTATTCTTGCGATTGTTTTGAGAGCATGGTTTCTGTGCAACTCGCATAACATATATAGACTGAACTGGCGGTTTCTTTCTTGCTGGTTCTCTTTGACGCTGGTATTTCCTAGCTGTATCCATTGGCAAAGATAGGAACGATGCTTTGGAAACTTCTGCTGGATGCTGTACGTTTGGAATTCTTTGAAACATCGATAAACATTGAGTCAATTCAGTGCTGTAGAAGAACTTGCACATGAACACCTGTCGAACCTGATTTTTGTGCAGCAACGTGCTCTGGTAACATGCAGAGGAGGAAAGAAGTCCACAGGCACCAGTAAGAGCACAGTGGAAATCAATTCCAGGACAACTAGTGAGCGACTAGTGTATCTTTCAGAACGGTGGTGTCCCAAAGAGCATCACGGCCAGCGCAGATCCTCGCGTTTTCTGTTGGCAGGTTGTACGGGAAGGAAGAGAGGATCTGCGCTTTGGCGGCAGAAATGCATGGAACTGTTTGTCCATGGGGCTGATCGCGGACATCCACGCTGATCGCTGGATGAGTTCGTCCATGTTCGTGCCTGCTTGGGGTTCGATGAGGACACGGAGACCGATTCTCATTGCTTTTAGGTATGTGTGTTTATGTGTTTACCCTCTTGGAGACCCAGGGTCCACGGTTTCACATCTTACTGAAGGACATCCTCAAAAATCAAAAGACTTGATCCGCCGGCCAAGAGATCATGGAGTTCATGGGCCACAAGATCCGCCAACGAGCAGTGCATCGTCCTTCCACGACGTCCAAAAGCTGCGAAACATCCGTGGTTTTCGGAGCGCCGGTGCGGAGCGGGGGGGGGGTATCCAATCCCAGACACTCCATGTATGGTATAATGCCTACATTGACGCCAGGTCAACCACCCCTGTCTGGGATTCATATGCCACATGGAGTGTCTTGGAGTAGGGAGTCTCCCATAGGTCCCCCCATAGTCTCACACGGAGCAGCACGAGTCCCACGGCATCACCTTTCGTCGTGCACCGACACGGCAACGAGTCGACACGGAGTTCTCGGGCTCCCTGTGGAGCTCGAGCTCCGTTTCTGCGGGGGCTCGATGTTCGTTTTCTGCGGCTCGTAAGGAAGGAATGGATCTTGATTGTATCTATAATCTATATATAGTGGATGTGGTCATTCTATTCCCACCAAAGCACCGGTCAGTCCAGGTTGTTCTCCCACTTAGCGTTGGTTCATAAAGAATGAACGAGGAGTGTCATTTGGAACTTCCAACATTTTTCGGGCTGCTACAAAACATTACAAAACACTTTGATACTTTTCAGGCCTATGACTACCTACACCCTGGTTCCTACACCCTGGTCTAATCCTAGACCCTGGTCTTTGGTAAGTTAGTAGCTCCTGGCATGGCTGCTAGTAGCTTCTTGCTAGGGTAGCAATACCCCTGTTCCTAGTAGCGATGCCCTTGTTACTAGTACTTGTAGCTTCCTTTTTGCTACGTTTCAGCACAACCTTCACCGTCCCAGGTGCCACGTGCTTGCCGCTCGTTTTGGCGCGGCTGGACGCGCGGAGCTTGGTGGCCAAGGTCACGGAGCTTAGCAGCACGTGAGCCAAAGCGACAATGAAGCGTTGATCCAGTGTCTTTTTCATGTTTTTTCATGAAGATTCATGAACATGAAACTGGGCGCTGCAGGTGTTTTCATTTGTCTTTGACACGAAGTTCTGTCCACCGACAGTTTTGATTCCTTCCTAACCATCCGAGAGTTTTTGAGGGTCGATTCGTTCCGCCACGCGTCCTCCGGTCGATTCACTCACAGGGCTATGCCCACGGGTCGATCCACGAATCCATGGCGTGGCGCCAGGTACGCGGACCATTGTTTGCGGGTGCAAGAGTTCTTGCAGGACTGAGGGACACCGAGTTGCGGGTCCTAGGCGAAACTGGACGTGAAATCAGCTTTCGCTGCTAAGATTGGGTGGTAGGTTTGAACCAGCTCGCCATGTCGGATGTGATACTGGGATACCCAGGCGCCAGGATGCAGCTCGTCAAGATGTATTGAATACATAGTATTGGGTTTTCTTTGAACACATGACATAGTTCCAACGATTTAGGTTGTAGTCGTACTTGTATGTACCTGTACATCCCTCCTCTCCACACCATGTCATGTATGTCTCGGTGCTGACTGATGCTGTGAAGACAGAACTTTCAAACTGCAAAGAACTGATGCTGCGAGTATGCTGAGGGTTTGCCTAAAGGTACACCCATATCCACCGAGTCTTCCTTTGCCTTTCCTTTGCCCTCAGTTAGTTGGGGAAGACACGCCCACATCAGTTTGACCTGCAACTGTGAGCCCAAACCTTGCTCCACGCAGGGAGAAAGAAGCTATCCATTACCCACTTAGTCACCTTTCCTCTAATTTGGACAAACATGTATGCTTGTGTCTATTGAGTCCTCTTGCTGGTTGGTGCTCTATTGAGCCATGTTCTCCCTTTCTTTCCCTTTTTCCATGGAGGACCCGGAAAACTTTCCTCTCTACGAAGCCAAGCACGTGGACACGGTTGGGCCGTCGCGAGCGGTCGAAGAATCGTGACGTTGGGTTGTTGATGGTGGCCGGGGGGTGCGTAAATCATGTACTGAGCGCGTGCCATCCATGGATGCCAGGCCATCTTTGGGCACACCCCATCGACGGAAGGTGGGAGGTTTGGAAGGATAGGCTGCAGACGGTTACAATGATTCTTGAGCTTCTTCACCCGGTAAACATGGATGAGGGTGACATTCTTGAGAAACCGGCCTTTGTACTTGGGAAGCAGACTGTAGAGGTCCACGGGCAAAGTCGAAAGGTCCAAGAGGGGTGCCTGAACAGGACTGCTTCCTGTCATATCCTGGTATAAACTTCATAGCTGGCTGCGACAGCACACTCAAAATGTGAGCTCTAACCCCACAGGCACTGGGACCTGACCCACAATCATATCCACCAGCCTTACCAGTATCATCTGGGGAAAATGATCGGGAAAACATATTTGGGAGCTATTTATATAGCCTCGCTACCCGCCCCCTTGATCCCACCATGCGTGTTAGATCTGCGTTGCGAACGGCAGGTCCAGGACAAGCTCCTCCGTGCTGGTGGCTTCGCCGTGGAAGGCGCCAAGCGCGCGGCTCCGCTGCTGTCGTTGCCTTGGGCATTGGGTGTTCGAGCAGTGGCGCCTTGGAGCGGAAATGGGGCCTGGAGGGTGAGGTGGGATCGCCTGATGCCATCGATTGATGTCTGACCGGGGATTCCCCAAGTTGGAACTATTATACAACTATTAGTTTTCATTGGGTTTGTCCTATTACCTGTAACACTCAGTAAACAATTATCACTATTTTTGAACAAGGCCTTTACCAACCATCATCCGCTGTTACAGGTATTAGGATAGACCCAAAGTATTCTCAGATGTATTGAGTACTTGCATGGGACAAAATGCGGAGATTCGCCTGCTGGGAATTGCTGGGAATACATGAGTGGATCATTTCGCCCATTTGGGCAAAAAACAGACTCTTTGGCAAGACATCAACATTTTTCGTGCGGTACTCTACCGCTGAAGATTGATTTAAGGAAGGCTGGCACAAACTGGGGTACCAAGAGCGAAGTCAGTTCTACATAATGTACTGTACTAGAATCTAACTGACATGGTGCAGATCTTTTCCTTCGACCGTACTTTGTCCACAATGAGAACTGCATCGCAACTGTATGGGAGTATTCTTTCTGGACGCCTATGCATTTGTGTATGCGGTCGTTGCTGTGTACTATTGTTTGCTTCACAGCAGCATTGGCCAAGCTGGATATTCCCTCGGTGGAGAAAAGGCGGTAGGTCGGGGAAGCCTTCTTTGCAAGACGCATCGCCAAAGACCTGTCAGGTACTCGAATTATATACAGTTACAGAAATTCTTTCCAGACTGCGGGCACTCACTTTATGATTACTGCCATTCGTTTGTTGTTTGTTGAGGTCAATGTTCATCACCTTACTTTTGTGTGTGTTTTTCTGGTTGAGGATGTGGTGTGGAACTATGGCCAGTACGGCCTGCTGGGCATTTTGATGCGCGAGGAGATCATGCAGGGCATCAAAACATTGTAGCTTGATGCAGCAACTGGACTGGGCCAGAAAAACAATCACATCCTCCTTCCTTTCTTGTTTTGGCCACAGAGACTCAATCATACCACATGACCCGATTCTTCTCGTCCTCCAACGAGATCTTTCGGAACTTGGAAGCACTTTGACACTTTGGGTGCTTTTGGGGGACTCTCCAGAGAGATGTTGGATCCAAAACTGACTTGAACCTTTCCGGCCCCTCGAAAGCAGGAGCCCCTGCACCGAGCCGCCAGCCTCGCCCAAGGTTGAGCTTGAGCTCGACGCTGCAGGATATCCCGCCCAGGGAGTTGCTAGTAGGCAGGGTATGGCAGGGTTGGGAAACCCTCAACGGTGTGACGAAAACTGTTCAAATCTGGAAAAAACAAGTGCGATGAAGCTTAACCTGGCTTAACCTGAACAAACTGGTCACATCACAACGGAACCATTGGTGAACTGTGCCTAACGAATTCTGTTCACCGGTCATTCCGATTCCGTTTGCAATTGAAATCCAAACCCGTCGCAGATGAGTTCCGTTCCCTTTGTGAAACGGGAGGCATCCTCTACTTGAGCGCTGAGCAGCGGAAAACTTTGAGGGATGCGCCCGTGTTTTGGGCGAGGTTAAGTGGGCAGGTGGTTTGGGCAGGTGGGGTTGGGGGCGATTTTGATGGTTTTTGTGGCAAGTCGAATCCTCGAGGTAGAGGAGTCAAAGGTTACAGGATATATACACCCTGCACAGCTTCGTTTTTTTGCCCTACCCAACATATAATATAGTACGTACGGGGTAACCCCAACGGGTATCTGAGATGGTGTTTGGGACACGGCTCCAGACTATTCCAAAATATAGAAGATTCTAGAGGAAACTGGACAAGCAGTTCCACGCCTCCAGAGAAACAAACAGCATCGACGTGCAATCTTTACGACCCGAAACCCATCCCAAGTCTCCTCCATGCAGCCTCCAAATGGTTCTCCAGTCAAGACCTTTTGGGGTCCAAGAACCCTTGAGGACTAGGTTAGGAGACCTGTTTGAAGACCTGTTTTCGTTGTTTCTTGCGACCTGGGGAAGCCGGAAGTCGGCGACCGATGGCGACGATGGGCGACCTGAGGATGGATTCCGGCGCGTGGCAGTGGAGACTGGCCGGCCGGTCTCTCAACATCTGCTGGATGCGCTGATGGGCATGGCATTGATAGGCAGGGCAGCAGGACGTGGCAAGTTGATGGTGAAAAACTAATGGACCATGGAAAGTGTGTTCCCCACTAATTACATCTATATAATTACGAGAACGACAGAGTTATTGTGAGACATTCCTGACAGCAATCCATTTTTATCCAAGATGGGTCTTTCTGGATTTGATAGGTATTTTCTGTTACGAGATTGACGATTCTACCGATATCCGTTCTAAAGTCACTCTGAGGGAGTTGCTGGGTTAAATTGATTTAGGTGGGTTTTGGTTGGATATACATCAGCTTCAATGGATCCTGCACTCTTACACAAAGACCACTCTTGTTGATCATGTGGGAGCGGCATAGATTCATTGGCATTTTGCAAGCCATAGGTCAGAGAGTGTGTCTGTCAGCGATTCTGCATGATATCACGCGGCGACAGTAGGGATCCTTCTCCACCTCAAATGGCACTGACAAATCCTAGGGTTCCACATACCTTCTGAGAAGGTTTCTCTGCCGTGCAGTCATCCGCCCCTTTCACTGTCCCAATCACCTCAGAGGGCTAGGGGTGGATGTGTAGGGCATGACTTCTTTTGCTTTATGGGTCACCTCCGGCATGGCAGGCACTTATGCTCCGTACCATGAGACAGCCTTTGAAGTTCAACGATTTGCTCTGCAACAGAAGCTGGGCGAACGGATGAGTTATCCGAGAGAATCCATGCTTGTGCGGAGTATTTAGCCTCCACACAGAGCAGGATGCCCCACCGTAAAACGAAAATCACATCATGTTCCAACTCTTGCTTTGCTGTTTGTTTTGCTGTTTGTTTGTTTGTTTGAGAAAGGATACCATTTCTCCGCAGTACCTACACTGTCTGGTGGCAGGGCTCAATGTAGCTAAATTTAACTCCACACATTGACATGGAGTTGGGAGAGGGGACGGTCAGCGTTTCTTTTCATGCCACGTTCCATGATTCTGGTCGAGGGCGTGTAGACCTGGACCGGTTTCTCAAGACACCCCATCTTGGATTTGTCAGCACCTGAAGAGCCCAAAACAGATGGCATTGAGAAAGTCTGACCACCAAACGGATTGAATCAATTCTGGAGCCCCGGATCAGCAGAACTTGAAGTGTGAGTTTTGGGGCCAGCGGTGCGATGCTTCAGCGGAGCGATGCTTACTAATGCCGAGTCATGCTTGGCGAAGCCGAACTCACAAAATATGTTCCCAATTTCAGTGACTTATATAATCCTTACTTCAAACAACGTATGACGAACCAACGGCCTACGAAATATTCCAAATATTCCAAACTCAGCCACATGATTGGTGTTGAGGAATTGGCGCCTGGTGACGGAGCGCTTGGGAGACAGCAGGAGGGGACTGGGAATGTGAGAGATGCCCAAACACAGCTTCAAGTGGAAAGCTATTTTTGCTGGTTGAATTGGTAAAGGTGTCACCACCCTGCAAATTCGGAATGCACCCTCGCGTTTCGAGTCCCAAGTCCAAGCAATTAGCAATAATATGAATATTAGAATATAACTATGAATAACTATATATATATATCTCTATATATATATATGTAATATATTGTATCGCAGCGGCGAACTTTGCCAACGCATCCCACATGTATCGCATGGGACCCCTCGCCGATGACCTCGGACCGTCCGCACCTCGGACCGTCGCCGATGCCGTCACGCTGGACGGCAGGAAGCACCGTCCTGCCTGGGCGCTCTTCTTGAAAGACGGCACTGCGGCCGTGTCCATCAGGGGCACCGACGTGGAACAGCCGCTGGGCGGGTGGAGCACGCTTCGAAGGTCTCAGTATATAGTTGTTGATCCAGATGTGATTTGGTTTCAGGGTTTCCTCCTTTGAACCATGCCGACTTGAGACTGTTTGTTCTGTGGGTAGCCTCTCCAGAACCAACATAGAAACACTTGAACACCTCTGGTAGAAGGAAGCATCATCTCCCCATCCATGTCGCCATCTCTACGAACACTGTTTGTGTCGGTCGGCGACCTCCTGCGACTCTTCAGGTCCCGTGGCGGCGACCTCTTCACCGACTTCGATGCCAATGCGGGTGGCCTCCCCACCTGCGCGACCGGCGCGGCGGCGCACCGCGGGGTGCTGAGCGCAGCGCAGGTGTTGGAGCGTGAGCTGCGGCCAACGCTGAAGGTCTTAGCGCAGGCGGATGGGATTGGGACTTGGCCAACATGCTTTTGAAACAGTTTGCGGATGTTTGCGGTCACAATTTTTTGTTTTAATGCTTGATTTTTCGAGATGGTCATCGTGCTTTGGTTGACTTGACCAGGGTTTGGCCGGCGCTTAGTGCTGTGAATTTAGCGCCAGAGGAGCTGATCAGGTGGAGGACTCCCACCTCTCTAACCCCTTTTTGGGGACACTGCTGTTGGGGCCACTGCTGTAGGAACAAGAAGCTACTAGTAACACAGGGCATCGCTAAATACTAGGAGCAAGGACGCTACTAGGGGCGCTCCTGGCCTTACTACTGGTAACAAGAAGCTACTAGGGGCTCGTGGCATCGCTACTAGGAGCAAGGACGCTACTAGGGGCTGCTGGCCGTACAACTAGGAGCATTCTTGTTACTATTTTTCTTTAAAGACCAGGCGGGCTACCGCATTGTCTTGACGGGTCACAGCCTTGGTGGAGCCGTGGCGGCGGTGCTGCTTTGGCTGCTGCGACGCTCGGCCGCGAGCCGCAATGCGCGTTGCCGCGACGCGCAGCCGCGACGTGGTGAAATAAATAACCAGAGACCGGTTCAGATTGGTTGGCAGGTTGGCGGGGACTTGGGACTTGAAGTCAGCATTTTTGGAGGTCATGGATAGCTCATGGATTTCCTTCATTTTTTGTGCCGCCTGCCGCATTTCTTACAAATCCATCTCTACTCCTGTCGCATGCCCGACTGAGGCTTCGGCACGGATGGGGAGCGCCTGGACGCGCCCGTCACGGGCATCGGCTACGCGGTGCCCTCCGTGGTCGACCTCAGGCCTCGCGACCGGGTAACCGGTGGGTGACCCGGGCGGGGCACCAATGGATATGAGACGCTGGCGGCCTGTTCGTTCTTTATTATAACCATTAGTACTATTGCAATTTGTTTAAAAAAGTTGTCCAACGTGTTTGCACAAAAAAAACACGTGAAACCCTCTACTCTACTATATCCAAAGGAAGGATCAAAGCCAAAAAAAGCTGAAGATCCCAAAAACATCTGCGATTTGATGTTTCCATCCCCGCATTCTTGAAAGTGGGCATTTGACGAAGCTAGCCCTGGGTTTTGCATGGCCCTCCCAGTGTGCTGGAGAGGAAGGACAGTGTTTGGAGGCTGAGCATCTACTAAACCATGAGACTCTGAATAGATTGAATCGATTGCTCAATCCATTGGTCCTACAACAGGGTTCAGTCGATTGGTTTCTTCATGTTTCTTCGTATTCTTGGACCCAGAGTTGAATTTGCAGGTAGCTTGGGCAAACCATGAATGGTTTGAACCAACAAATTAATGATGTTACTTATATGATCTTAAACAAAAAGCAGCCATCGTGGTGGAGGTTTCTTTGGATCGTCCAAACGCAGCGACCCTCCGAGGACCTCCGAGGCGCTGCGACCCTACTTCACCTCCTTGGCCCCTCGGACGGTGAAAAACGGACCACCGCTCGGGGCACCGTGAAATCAAGTGACCAACGATGTGACCAACGTGTGTGCTGTTGTAGCAGTGGTTTGATACGAGTTCGGGGCGGAGTTCGGGACTAGGGGCTCTTGGCATCGCTACGAACGGAGCAAGGACGGTCCAACCGGTCATCCCTCCGGTCCCCGGTGCCGAGGTCAACTCGATGGATGCCGTGCCCCGCTTGTCGCCCAGCGCGCTGGGGCGCCTGGCACGGGAGCTGCGGAGTTGCGCGGCCCAGAGCGGTGCTGACTTGGATGAGGAGCCGGAGAAAGGGGCGGAACGCCAGAATTTTGGTACACCAGTGAGCGCCAGTCTTTTAAATTATGGTATGTGGGATGTCCTAAAATGATCTAAAAGCAGGATATATCAAAAAAATACTCGTATCATCTAAAGTCTAAACTGTATGTCATTTATTACTGTAGGGCACGAATCACGCATCCTCCCCAAAAGCCCGCGAAGCCGAACGGATCGTGGCGAAGCCGAACGGATCCAGCGCACCCGCCAGGATCTCAATCACTATGTGGAGCGGCTGAGTAGTGTTTGGGCACCACGAGTGAGGCGCCTCTGACGTGTTGGGAGACCAACCAGTCGGCCAACCTGGGCGGAAGGCACCAAACGCTTTTGAGCAACACATGATGGCAGTGGAAAACTGCCATGCGATTTGGAGAAGTTTGGGGTGTTTGGGGCGGAGTAGTACGGTACAGACAGTTGACATCCTGTTGTGCAATGTTGTGCACTGATAGTCCACAAAGCCTGGACTGATTTTAGACCTAAATTCCATCACCGGGGCACAAACATGTATATTCAAGGGGGTGTGGCCCCCTCTCAATATACATTTCCCGGTCTCCAGATTTCATTCCCGGGGAAGTCCGGGGAAGTGATTTTACGCTCTATTTTTAAAGCTAAGACACAAGATCAAACTCTTCAGGGCCTGACAGTTTGTTTAATTTGAGATTGACCAAGCTGGACGGGCGTTAGGATCCAAACCGTTCGCGCCCTTGTAGCAGAATCATCCGGTGATTTGGGGTCCACCAAGATTGAGAAGAGTCTTTTGGCAAAACATGTTGGACCAAACACTGAATCAATCCAAAGGGACGCTTGCGCAGTTGAGTGCTGTTCCACTTTGCTGCCGTTCAGCTGAGGTGATAGTCCACTTTGCTCGAAACAAACCAATTATTTATTCGGCAGCAAGTTTCCATACTTGCAAAAATTAAGGACTTGATGATAAATAGGCTTTCTGGTATCATAAGCTCAGGATTGATTGATGAGCTCTTGGCCAAAATCCCAGCCAGAATGCTGTTTGAACACATCCTGCAATATGTTCACCACAGCTTGAACCACCAAACATGAGGGGGTATCAAGGGCTCGACACGTTCACACTGGAGAAGCTGTTCGTCAACAGTCGACAGGGATGGGACGCCTGCGCCTGAGCTTCCTACGGTCAAGACGCCCACGCCCCACGCCGCAGATGAGGAGCACTGCCGGACTGAGGGTGGGGTTCGTCCACGACCCATTTCCAGTCAGACAGACAGACAGACAGACAGCCAGCCAGCCAGCCAGGCAGGCAGGCAGGCAGGCAGGCAGGCAGGCAGGCAGGCAGACAGACAGACAGACAGACAGACAGACAGGCAGAGAGAGAGAGAGAGAGATTGGTTTGACCACTAGTTTCGGGCCAGGATTGAAGAAGCCTGCGTTTTTTAGTGACCGCTTGTTTCTTCTAGACTCTAGACTCTAGACAACACTAGGTGAACCACCCAGAACCCATTTCCACTGATGTTGGAAGACCATTTAGACACATCAAGCAGAATGCCCAAAAGCAGGTTTGAGCGCTTCATGCTGTTCAGATCATGCAACAGCATGTCAGCATGACTGCGTGTTGTTGGAATATGCTGGAATCACATTCTTGATTGATGATCGGGGACATGTCCAGTCTCTTCGGTCAGATTCGCCCCCGACTCTGCCAACTCCGGCTTTCTGTTGGGATTCAGATGATTAAGTACTGGACTGTTTTTAAGGTGCACCCTTGCAACTGCACCTGCTTAATCAGGAGCCCCATATTTGGGCTAGTCACGAGGAAGATGAAGTGGACCTGCAGCTTGGCACAGGCGATGTCGAAAAACTCGCCTGTTCGGCAGCTCAATTGATGGATGTGTGGGCGCCACGTGGATTCACCTGTCGCGCAGCTGCCGCGCGACAAAAGCACCTGCCCGGCTTCTCGCGACAAACACAATGTCCTGCAAAGAATCTAAGTTCTCATGAGTCCCCTGTTTCGATGCTGCATCACTGTTGTCATCAGCTCAGGTACATCCCAGGCAGAGCGGACTGGGAAGAGGATGACAAAGGGGATGCTGATGGTAACTCAAGCTGTTGCATTGTACACGACATCGTTGTTTTCTTTTCCTTTTTGGTGAGTGGCCAGTCGCCACAAACTTCCAGAGATTCTTGCAAGCCGCCCAGCTGTGAGATATTTAGGTAGTTCACCACCAGTCAATCAGGTCAACATTGGAGCAGCTTGGGTCCTTTCGTGACACACCAATATCGGTGTGATATTTAAGAATCACACGAGAGTCCAAGCACATCCAAGGGTCACCCACGAAGCTTCGTGTGATCAACAGGTGCTCCGACTCCCGGTCAGGCCATAGCTCCTCACAGGATGGGACTTATGTAACTTTTGTAGTTCTTCCACGATGCGTTTGTTGATGCTTTCCCTAGATCATAGATCCGACAAGAAAGGAAGGACTTTGCATTGCTTGTCGGAACCCCGGTAGATCGCCCGTAGATAGCGTCCGGCCATTTCGCCGCCAGGGAACGTGGTTTGGCTGCACCGGGTCCGTGGGCACCTGGAAGCCGCCCTGGTGCCCTGTACGGCTGCGCCACTGCGGCGGCTGCTCTTGGACAAGCGGATGTTCGAGGACCATTCTGCTCGCGCCATCCACCAGGTACCGGTCAGTTGCGATGGGAACATGGGGGCGACCTGCTACATGCTCACACGGGAATCAGAGAGATGGTAGATTTCATTCATCAGCTTAGTCCCAACCAACTTTAAAAGTTTAAATGGTTTTAAGTATTTGTTTGGTTATCCAGTTATCCCTGCCAAGCCTCACATGTAGAGTTTTCGCCGGTGCTCAGGCCCTGCGCGCGGTGCAAGCGCGGCGGGACGCCACCGTTGAGCTTCCGCCGTGGCAGAAGTTCTCGGACGCGGGGGAGAAGTGCCCTTGCTGCGGGAGCCGTCGCCGGGTCAAGCAAAACGGACCCGGGTGGAGAACGACTGGTGGGCAACTGCGCAAAGCCTTTTAGGTGAGAATGGAGAGCGACTGGTGGCCAACTGCTTTGCCTCCCAAAGATTTAGGAGTGGATCCGTAAAAACATTTCTACCTGCCACCTGTTTGGGAAGTTTTGCACTTTAGACCTTTAGATATTTTAAGTATTTTTTGGTTCATCATTGATTCTCAAGTTTTCAGGTACTATGTGGTAGTTGGTTGTACCTAGGGCACGAAGGGGGTTCCCGGGTGATGGTTGAGTGGTCGAGCTTCCAGAATCAGTTAATTAAGGGATGGACGTTCTTTTTGGTGTTTTACTCTGCTCAACAGCTATTGTAATTTTCCAGTAATATGACGCTGGGGCCGCAGATTGTGCACAGGCAGTCTCTTGTAAAAACATCAGCTGTCGACTGCCATGAATCTAGTTTAGCAATCAAACATAATTGGAGATTTCACGGGGCAATGTCAAATCATGTTGAAACTATAACCACCCTGTCAAGCTTTTATCCAATGACTTCAAAGCAGAGACGGTAAACAATGATGTGTTGCTTTGGCACCTGCCGCTGCATCCCTGCGCATCCCTACGCCTCCGCTGGTCTCCCGGTTGAAAAGACACTTGCCGACCGCCAATGAAGGTTATGAGTGGATGAACACTGCGCGCTCGGGAAAGATGCGATGTCATGCCATGACCAACTGCCGCTTGTGCGGCCTGGTGGTGTGTGTGGGGTGCGCTTCTTCACGACGTGACTTGGCGAAGAAGGGCGGGAGCCAGGGAACCAATGGGCCTGCGGCCCTACGTTCGGCCCACCTTCTCCCACCCACAAGGACCTGGGAACCTTGAACATTCTAGCTTCTATTTACTAGCAGCGATGGCCTCCAACCTAATAGCGATGGCCTCCACCTAGTAGCTTCTAGTTACTAGTAGCTTCTTGTTACTAGTAGTAAGGCCAGTAGTAGCGTCCTTGCTCCGTTCGTAGCGATGCCCTTTGTTACTAGGAGCATCCAGACTTCCCTTCCATCGTTTCTGCGCTCAATCCCCAAGGCTCGATCCCCGAACAGGGCCTCGACACCGGCCGCGTGTGCGATCGCTGTGCCTGGCGCGGCCCGCCGCTGCCGGAGCTCGGGCCGCTCTTCGGAGCACTGGCCGAGGCGAGGCAAAGGAAGGGTGGAATGGAGTGGAAGGAAGGAGGATGCCCACTTTTGGGGATTGCAAGGGTTGGGGGACTTGTATGTTTTAGTCTATGCGTAGATGGCCCGATGTGATCACGAGGATGTTACAGGAGAACTGTTGGTTTGAACATGTTCTTAGCCGCTCTTCAAGATTTCGGTTGCTTGTTCATATTGAAATAGGCCCCTATCCTCAAAAGGTCCTTGCTACTTTGCCCCCAACCCCCCCCTTCTCATTCGGTGGCAGTGGATAAATTCAACAACAGACTCTGGCAGTGGACCTTTCCATCACCTCTGGTTGGTCCATGGGTCTGCTGCGGAGGCCAACAGTGACAGCTGAGCTCGGACCTCATGAAGAACATTGGCCATGTTTTCAGCATCATCATGAGGCAGAGGAAAGCAGCCAACCACCCGGATTTGCCAAAATAGTCGATCGCTGACTCGACATGTCCTTTGTGCCAATTTGAAGTTGAGAAAGAGCCTGTAAAACTTCACTGCGGGCGACATGAATGCCACGAGGTTTGCTGTCTCGAGGTGATGAGAGAATGTGGTGAAGACGAGATAGCTTGCCCAAGTTGCGAGCAGGAACAGCGAGCTTTGACAGGCCCGAACTTGCCCGGGGCTTTAATGGCGAGTTGGGCCGTCGCGCAGCATTTCGCCACGGTGACTTCATAGATTCCAAGCTGGCGAAGACTACCGAATTTGATTGCATGATTTATGTTTTGCAAGTGATGTTTCTACCTTCGGAGTTGTGTGCATTGTTCCCATGTTCATCCCTTTGACGCGTTTCCCTCGCTTTTGATGTACAAAGACTCGGCATAGCAGCATAGCATCGCTCGCGTCCACACTCGCTGTGTCCGGTGGTGAGGGTCCCATCGGTTGGAACTGGGGACCCCCGTGGCACACGCGAACCTCGAGCTCGACACCGGAAATAGGGAGAACGTGCAATTGAATTGGCTGCAAGCGTTGCTGATTCCTTTGATTGATTCTGAGCATACATATCTCTGTCGTGGATGTTCGATGCCACTTGGGCGTCACGAAGTACAGCTGGAAGCTGCTCGATGTACAGCTGGGTGTGTCTCAGAAGGCTTCACCAAATTGCCAAACCCAGCGGCACACCTCCAAGACATGATCAGGATATATGATATGCGGATATGGGTTTGGATTGGGACAGGATGAGATCATATGATATAGAACGTGTAGTTTTGCCAGGGCACTGCCACTCTCAGACGCAGGGGCCGCAGCGAAGGGTTTTCACATCGATGGCTTTGGGTCAAGAAATCAGACCTTTTGACACAAGGAGAGAGGAAAGAATTGACCCATCGGATGGCTTTGGCCCGAGGGCCATCGATCCCACACTGCTTGGTGTTCTCAAGAACTGCTTGGTGCATCTATAGGTCTATAGGCCTTTAAGACTGCTTGGAGCACACCCAGATCCCCGAGCTGTGTCGACTGCCTTAGGCAAATTCGACGAGCGCCGTTTTCAGCGCAACAAAGTAGAGCAAAAGGGGATGCAAGTGGAAGTGAGAGGGTCACATTGTGTTGTTTTCTGTTGTTTTTTTTTTGCACCGGCAGGGGGGCAGTGTGCAAAGCCGTAGCAGTCTGCCAATCTTTTGTTTGTATTCATGGCCTTGGGCACCACTGCATACAGAGCAATTTTGCCCGGTACGATTGCAAAGAAGCAGCCTTAATCGGCAATGTAGGTAGCTGTGGGTGATAGCAAGCGTCAAACTTCTAACAAGCCCGAGTGATCAAAGAGGAACACCTTTTAGCCTTTTGTTCCATAGAACAAGTCATAACGAGTCATAACAACTCCAGGGTCAAATATCTAAATGAGGGAGGGCATAACTAACACTTTTAACAACCAATCCTAATTGCCAACTCAAATGCTCGTGGCAAAAGAGTATTGACCACCCCTGATGAGAAGCTTGTGGAGGAAGAAAACTAAACCTGAACCGTTCAGCCTTAGTACAGAAGAGTTCCGTTCAGCCTCTTGATCCCACGCAACTCTGAACCGCCTCTGGTGCTGCCTCTGGTGGCCGGGTGATCCATTGAGTTATTCATTCGGGTCGAGTGCGGCACCCCTCAGTATTGTGCATCCGAGCTCTAGTGATGGTAACAGCAGGGTGGCCTGGTGAGGAGGGCGTGGTACTTCACATGTCGGAGGAGAGCACAGGTTTTCGTCATGTTTGATGGTTAGTTTACTCATTTTCCCAGATGGTGTTGGGGTTACCGTACTCTAGGAAGTGAAACAACAATAATAACAGATTTGCTGACTGCCGGTGCCCCACAATTCAATACCTTCTTTGTTGGACGGTTGAAGTGATTTGCGACGCGCTTTTCTTCCGCAGAAAAATCTTGGCTCAGTAGACTCAGGTGTTTTTGTGGTCCGCCTGACCCTGGAGCGGGTGACGTTGCGCCGGATTGTGGTGCGGGGTTAGAGTTAGAACGCTGAAACTCATGTATTCAAGGTCATTACAAAGGAGGCCCTTAAGTTCCCAGACCTCTCGGTTGCATGTTCAAGGGTGGAACTTTTGGATTGTTCGCGATGAAACCGAGTTCACGGATGAAAAGCCCAATAGCAAAGGCGTAGAAACACAACATGTGGCTATGACTTGAAATGAAAGACCTAGTTACCAGCATGTTTCACTTGATGTTTTCTTCCACCAGCCGGTTTGGCAGTACTGTGCCCTTCTGTGCCCTATTGTTGAAGCACACTAGATACTATCCATACCCGTGCAATGTTTCAGACTAGGACCCCCACTCCACCCGTTGGAACGCCTAGGAGACGTGAGAGGGGGCCAAGTCCAAGGATCCAACCTGTTCCTCTCAGTTTGTTGCCCCCACAAACGGGTTGATGCGGGCACCACACCTGCCCCCAAACGGTCCATGTGGATCCAATTGGAAGAAATCAAATCAATTCAGTAGTAATTACCTCCCGTGACGGGACCGAGGAATCTCGTGTTTTTCGGCACAGGAGAGTCGACCCGGCCATGTTCAACTTTCCAGGCGGAGCGAGTCGAATGCACGTTTGTTCCGGTCTGTTGCTGTTGTCTTCATTGCGAACACCCTTTTCCATCCTTTTCCTCAGTCTCCAACATAGCAACCGTAACGAGAATGTTGGATGCCAGAACTGCAGAAGAGCAGGTCACCAATCAGTCCATTCGGACCGACTCCGCACGGACCTATGGAGGCACAAGCTGCAAGAACCACAAGTCTAGCTAGCCACTTCGTACATCCTGATGGTCAGCGGGGGGTCAACCCCGACGTGACACGTGTGACGCGCCATGTCTGGCAGGGCAGGGCCCTGGGGGGATGCCCAACCCCCACAGCTTAGCCATCAACCCCTTCGCGTTGCCACCTGGCATGCGCGGGCACCCAGACCCTCCCAAGAAACACGTTTCAAAACAAGTGACTGGAGAAGAGCTGTCTGGAAAGAAGGATGTAATGTGATGTGTTTGAAGTTCGAAGCTAGGGCTAGGATATATATATATATACACATATATATACTGTAACTGGAATGTAGCTATTTAAGGATATTTAAGGACTCTAGCCTGTAGCCTTGAACATCGGTTCTAAAAAGCGCTAGCTGGCATGGTGAACACACTTGAACGCTGAGGCCTGGAATGCAGCAACAGCAGCAGCAACAGCAGCAAATGGCACAGGTGCAGATTGCATATGCAAAGGGAGAAGAGAGGACGGACTAGTAGTCAATCCGTGCTAAACAGACACATGGGTTTGCTTGTATGGTGATGTGGAACTCTCCAATTTTCCTTTTGGATTATGTCAGGCTGCTGCTCGGCTGCCCCAGCAACCGCCGCCCGCGCCAGAGCCTCCTAAGCCGGGTGCCCGATACCTACCGCGAGTCTGCGGATTTGCTGGTCAATCACTGGCACACGAAGCCAGTCATTGGAAGGGACTGGAAGAACTAGTAGCGTTAGTAGCATTCTTGCTACTAGTAGCGATGCCCTTGTTACTAGCAATGGCCCGTTGTACCGCTGAACCGGTGACAGCGGTTGAATCAGATCTTCCCAAGCACAGGCCTCTGATATCATCGAACACAGACCATCGGGCGGAAGTGTTCCGTGGGACATTTCTGGGTCGGGCGGTCCCTGGGCGATCGCCCACTCGAAGCACTTCTTGGTCGCGTCAGATGTCGATTTTCATGGAGGTCTTGGCGAACATGGCCTTGTCCTTTCGCGCAGGAAACTGCTTGTGCAACGGAGATCGTGTGTGTGGCAGTGCTTGTGTGTGGAACAGGCTTGGGTGAGTGGGCAACACCCGAGGAGCTGAAACTGGAAAGACGAAGATGACGCAAGAGGAGCGCAAAAATTACGAAGCCAAGTTGCTTGAACTTGGCATCATAGTACTTAGTAATTCTTGTTCAAGCGAGCTGAGGAGCGAATGGTAGTAGCAATGCAAGAGGCCTGGGATGAGGCCGTATCCGTCGCGAAAAGGCGGCAGAGGCCTCGGGCACGTCGACCACGCAGAGTGGCGGCAGCTACACGTGGGGAGGAGACTTGTATGAATTCAAGATTCAATTGGAGACCTCTTTTGGTCAGCTTCATCGATGGGCAAGTTGGAGTGTGACCGTGCATATGGCTTAGACGAGCGGATCATAGCGGATCTGTGCAGTCCACATGTTTCCTTCCGTCCAAGCCATATCTGACCAGACTGTTGAACAGCGACCGTTTCAGTGGGAGGGCGGGTGCAACCATCGCTTCGATGCAAGTGGGCACTGCTTGAACGACAGTTGAACAATCATGGAAGCAGGAACACGGATGCATGAATCCCGGCTCGAACTGACCGGTGGGCGCAACTTATCTGAGAATGATTGCAGTAGAATCATTGATGTGACTTGCGGCTGACCCTGCCGACCGCTGCTTTGAAACATGTGACGACATGTGATGACCATCCGTTGGTGAGTCCTTGTCCCCGGTGTTAGGTCCAGAGTGGAATCCTGCAGGAGTTCGGTGCAACTTCACATTGGCCCCAGCACATTGGCCCATGGTGCACCATGCATCCGTTTGAGGCCTGCACCCTCCAACAAAACCCAGGAGGAGAGATTCCAGCCGAGATCGAAGATGAAGGGGTTGAACATGGTTAGATGGACAATCTCTAGGTTTGACAGGCTTGATAATTCTCTTCATAAACTTGATTGAAGTTTCTCCAGAATAGATTATGGTCAGAGGTGGTCTCGAAAAGGGTGAAGGAAGCGTTGAAGCCAGATTGAAGTGAATCTAATATTGGAAGAAATGGGTTTCTATCTAGCTGTCCTTTTTGTTTGCACTCTAATCGGCGCAGGAGTTGCTGGATGAGAAGGCACGAAAGTGGCAGTCCTTGAACGCCAAACGCTATGGCGAGAAACGAAAGCTCCTTGGCGAAGCCACAACAGCCTTGAATGATTGGACAACCAGGGGATGGACCCCAAACCCACGAAAGATCACGAAAACACGGGAGGTTTACTGTTGTTTAGCTGGTTGTGGAAGGGAGCAACCGTTCGTGCGGACGATGTTTTTTGATCATATTGTATATATATTATTACAATTTAATGGGAATTGATGACTCACACACGAGTATTGACACATTGTAGATGATGTTCTATAATTCTTCAACAGGAATTCTTTCCCGTTTTGGTGGTGTTCACTGGGATACCAGGTTGAACTTCTCAAGTGAATCACGACTCATGCATGGCTGTTGGAGCAGCTGAGTAGACCATGGTGTCCATATTGTTCATGTTGTCAGGTGTTCAAATCGTCTGGGCGGTGTTCAACCATTTGTAGTTTCCAAATTGCACGGGCTGTCGTGACTGGCCGATCCTGCATCAAGTTGCTCAGGTTTGGCGTGGTGGAGCAGCAGAAGGAGGAGATGTTCCTGGGATGCAAGACGAGAGAAGTGCCGGTCGGTGTTTCGGGAGGTTCGGGACCAGCTTGGGAGGTCAAATGCCCAGTTTTCGAAGTCTCAGGCTGTTTGGAGCGTTTGGGTGGCTCACGAACAGAGTAACACCTAACCCCATTTAATGACTGGTCATGACGGTCAAGCCTGAAATTTCACGTGCGAGATAGGCTCGTACTGAGGATCTTTCACTGGAGCAAAGGGGTAGGGTAGGCCGAACCGTCTAGTTACCTCTAGCTTCCTCATGTTGTGTCTTGACGGCTTTGGCGAGAGCTGACGCTTTGGCTCTCCGGCGTTGATTGGAAAATGATGGAACATGGATATTTTGGTGGTTCATTTCCCAGAGCAACCATTGCGTACTGGCGTTCATTTTACAAGATGGTTTAATATGTACGGACGCTGAACCGCCCATCTCTGTGGTACAGTTCAGCGGTTTCGTCGCCCTTTTGCTCTCAAGATAGATGGTCAGAATGGACAAACTGGTTAGCAAGTTATGCTATTGCAGGCAAACCAAAGAAGAGTTTTCTGGGCTCAACTATGTACGACAATTTAAATCTATGTAATACTATTTGGATATTCTTCACTGCATTGCCCACTATAGTTCTTGGGCATACACAGGCGAATACATCCAAGCTCTGCGTCGACCTTTCCTTCATGAACAAAAGGGGGCACTCTTGTTGATGCTTTTGCCATCTCTTGCTGCTTCTTGATGCTTGCGATTCACCAAGAACCCCTTTGCGTTCCAACCACCATCACCTCTTGGCGGCGTCGAGGCCACCAGAGCATATCCGAAAGATCATCAAGGCCGCCGTCGGCCATGGGCGGAAGTGATCCGTTCCAGCTTCCAAGCATCCGTTCGGTCGAATTGCTGATTTTCTTTTGGGTTAGTGCAGAATTGGTGAATGGGCATCGATGTACCTGGGCGGAGTTTTTAGGGGAGTCCAGGCGGCATGGGTTCATCTTCCCATGTCATAAGGTGCTACATGTAGGGACCCCCCGGCTTGGCTGAGGCTGACGTGGATAGTCTCAACATCATCCCTTCCTTCACGTGGCTGGCCAATCGTCTTCCCCCACGTGAGTCGGTTCCACCAGGACCATGGAGATATGACAGCGCGTAAGTTCCGCCACGACAAGCGTTGCTTGGGCGCAGGGGGGGCGATTGAACCGGCGTTCCAGGGGTGCACTTGGAAGCACCGGCGATCGAGAAATCAATGGTGTGGTCAAGACCCACAAGCAATTCTGGTTGGATCGCCGCTAGCAATTCTGCTGGGCAGCCGGCCCGCACACCGAAGCGAGGTCACCCCCTTCTTCTGGCAAACCAGATGTTTAAGTTCAGTGGTTCCTCCTTCCTGGTCACTGATCATATAGTTGTTCTCCCAAGAATCGATGGTCGAAACCTTCCACGCGGGGGTTCAACCTTTACTTTTTGGGAAATACTCATCAGCATGTAACCCACAAAATAACAAAGACACGTCAAGCAGAAATCAGGAATGTTCATGGATAGACAAACAATGACAAACAGCTGGACAGTCGATAATTTTACAAGTTGAAACTGCTAGTTGAAGCCTGTTCTCCTGGTTGTTTCTGTCAAGAGAACCCTAGCTCTGGACATTGCCCCCCTACTCTCGCTGCTCATGAGGCTTTTCATGGTGCCAAAATTAAAGCAGATGTGTTCGATTTCCCAAGCAACTTCCTGATGGAACGCCTTGGGAAATCATGAGACCGTCCATTAGTTGGACCAATTGTTCCACCTCGGCTAATTGTTTGGGGACTGTCCTGAGTCATCCTTGTAAAGTCTTGTAAACATTCCCTTCGGACAGCCAAGGTATCTATCTCGGAGCCTTGAAATACTTGCCCCATGCGGTCTACAAGCTGTTGGCCCCATGGCAGAAGTGCTTTCACGTGACGAGTGGTCCTCTCCACTTGAGCCTCACCTGGTCCTCACATGGAATTTTCTTTTCCAGGTTCGATGTTAGCGAGGTTTCGATCACCATGGACCATGCAGGGGAAGCCATGACATCACGGACTAAACATGCGACAAGGCCTGATCATCCTTTGCAAACTGTCTACCTGCCGCTTGATGATGTACAGCTGGGAATCCACAGAATAACTCCTTTGTAGACTGCGGTATGATTCCAAGAGAACTGTCTAATTAGTTCAGTTGTTTTCTTCATCAGAAACAACATCTCACCACAATGAATTTCAATCAACCACCAGCTAGCCCACAAAACATACTCAACTCAACCCAAACCATGCACTACACAGCCCAACCCCACCCCGACCATCATCACGAACGCCCCCCCGAAACAACACGTTCACGTGCATTCCAAAACGATGGTGCCCGGCCCAAAAACCCGTGTGTTCTACACTGAGGAAAACACCCCGGTGCCCTGGCAGCAGATCCGGAACTGCCGCACCGTGTACCATTGCAGTGGAGCCATCACCTTCTGTGCGGAGCTGCAGAAGGTGGGGACCCTGGAGGGCCGGTGGATGACAGTGGATGACTCGATGACAGGAGCTGAGTGTTTATTTTTGGTGGATGAGCAGGTGTGGGTCGCTAGGTGGGTGAGTTGGCAGGTATTTGCCTTTTGTTTGTGGATCATTCCCACACTTGGAGAGGTCGCACATGTCCTTTTTGGGGCTACCTGTCCTTGTCAGCTGCCAAATGTCCTTAGTCCACCTGTACTACCTGATCCTGCTAGGATCTGCTAGGGTCAGGTTGGGGGTTACGCCCAAGTGAGGATACATACAGTATTTCTTCCACAGGGTCTTTGCTTGAGACGTTCTTCCACAGAGTATTATCCGGTTTTGTGGCAGTTTTTCACTTGCGATCATCACCGTGAGGGGGACATCCAAGAGCGACACACACGGAAGGTTCGTTGGGACTCAACGAGTCACACGGCGTCTCCGGTCGAATGCGGCGGAACGTTTGGAGGTCATCGAGCCGGTCTTCCTGGCCCAGTGGGGTACCATGTGGATCATGATGCGACGTGAGAAGCGCCACTGAGATGTGATGCTAATGTGCGAAGCATCTGCGATCTTCGATGGGGTTCAGTTTCTTTGAATTTGCCATTCCAGTCGAACCTAGAGGAACATATACATTCAAGATCCAAGAGTTCCTTTTCTGACAGTCTGATCTCCATGTCGAATTCATTCGAATTCCATGATACCTGTGAGTAGAAAGGAATATATATATATATATATTATAGATATCAGAACACACATTATTGTTATTTGGGTCTGTCCAATTACGCTAATTATCTCAATTTTAGAGAACGCCCTGCTAACCATCATCCACTGGTAGGGACCCAAAGGTCTTTTGTCCGGTCACTTCTCCAGTCCTTCACGTCGGACGCCGAGGCGACCGACGGCACTTCAAGCGCATGCGCTTCCCGCCCTTCGATGACGAGGAGCCGCCGCTGGACTACGGTGACAACGTGCTGGACGTGGAGCCCTTGGAAGCCATCCAAATGAGGTGCGGGTGGACTGCGAGCAAGCAGAAACAATCAAGCAATGAGTGCGCGGTGTGTGCACATGTGGGGCCAGTGCTGGTACTGTGCATGTTGGGGTGCGTGTGCTTTTTGACATCAGAAAACATTGAGACGTCGAAGTCATCCTCAAACAATAATATCAGAAATCCCATTCTCAGTCCTCCCACAACTGGTGTGCAGGCTGGATCCTGTGGAAGATGAGCCCGTGCTGGAATGGTTCTATGATCCTGCCACTTGTTATTTTTTTTGTTCTCATTTTTTGGACTGGACCATATTCCACCGCATCTAGTTCCCAGTTTTGGTTGGAATCCCTGATCATTTGGGTGTGCTGAATGTAGTGGGGCTATAACAGGCTCTTTTTGTATCTCTGCCATAAGGTCCTTAAAGATTTGATCCTCATTTCTCTGGTCCAAGGTGCCCTTGTTGAACTCGAAGCACGTGAACGGCACCAGCTACAGGAAGTGGCATTTGTCATTGGCGCAGCAGGGTGCCTGGGGTTAAACTTGGCCAACAAGGACGAAGTGGAACAGCAGTTGAAAAGAAGACTTCTGGAAAACGACCCAACGAGGAGTTGTAATATATTTACGACCATGCGACACGACAATCAATCATACAGACTGGAGGTGGTGCAGGAAATCTCCAAACCGCATCAAACCGCCCCGTCTCACACAGTTTTCCTACACTTCAACCGCTGTGGGCCTTCTGACCCGACGAGCATGGTCAACTGCTCGGCGTCAGGCTGAGAGCACTGGAGTTGTTTTCTTTTTCTTTTTCTGTGCTTCTTCCTTGACCTAACCTGTACAGAAAACACCTATATAATATAGAGGAAAACCGCTTTGGTTTCCTCCGTTGACCGTGTTCTTTTTGGACACGTGTTGAACACCTGGACTTTCTCCGGACGCCGGTCTCCTCGTTGGGTGAGCTCCGCTCCGCTCACAGGACCGAACACGACCGGACCGGACCAAACCGTCTAAAGAAGCTGTTGCTGTTGAGAGGCTCTTGGGCACAGAGGGGATCCTGATCCTTCAATGAATTTCAATGAACTTCATATTTCCAGGTTAAACTCTAGAGTCCAAGAAGCTATGGCTTTCGCTTCATACGAGGCAAGTCTGCGGTCTGCGGGTGTCGACATGTCTGTTCAGTGAAACGGAAGGCGAGCTGCTGCCCTCCCGTCCCCTGAGGTGTGCTGTACCGGTTGTCCAATCAGCTGTTGTCAGATCTGATGGACAAGAGCCCTGGCTGCAGAGCCTGCAGAGCCTGCGGCCCTGGCTGCGGGGCACCAGATCTAGTGGCCGGTTGTCTCTTGTCTCTTGTTGTTTACCTCCCTGAATCAGCACAGCAACGTGAATAACATTTAAAATATATTTGAACTATTACTGCTTGTTACCATACAAATAGATACATAGTGATATATATGTATATATTATGTACTACACATCTACTGAATACGTATCCCCTACGGTGGCTCGCTCCTTGTTTGTTTGACCCCCTAGGTTTGTTTTGTCTTCCGCCATAAGCAGTTGCCGAATCATCTTTTTCTGAGGAACTACTTCTACCTCTTCGAAAGGAAGTCCTTCTACACTGCCAAGGCTTTGAACATGGCCATCCCAGGCAACGGTGGGTTCGTGAGCGGGGTTCACACTGCAAGGTCAGGGTAGGTGTTGGAAACGACTGAGATGTCTGTGAACGAAGGGGTGGCCAACCTGGGCCTCCCTTGTGAAGGATTATCTTTGTGAAACCAGGCAGAGGTCCCACAAGAGTTTTCTCTAGAAGGTGTCCTCAAAGATGATCCAAATCAACAGGACCATTATGTTTCATAGGTTTCTATCTCATTGCAGGGGGTACGTGTCAGATTGGACGCACAACTTGCCTGTGGGGTCTTTGATGGTGCTGACAACTTACACTTCACATCTGCTGAAGCAACTCCCTACAGCTCAGAGCCTCACACGCAGCGCAGGTGGGCCCAAGTTCGAACCGCTCTACCGCGACATGTACGATGAGGACGAGGATTGGAACGAGTTCTTGGAGTGTAAGGGTTGAGAGGAGTTGTTCAGGGTCAAAGCACAACTGCAGCTTCCCACTGTGATGCTGCGTGAACACCAATGTTTTGGGAAGGCCCAAGATGCTTGCAAACAACCCGATGGAACCATTCCCATGAACTGCGGTTCAACACCAGAAGACTCCAAAAGTAGGTCTGAGCCTAGCTACAAGACTTCTGTGTAGCGGGGATGTTTTATGTGTGTTGGTGTTCTATCGGAGCATCTTGCTGGGAACTCCTGAAGAATGGTGAAAAGTCTAACAAGAGGCCTCCCCAATGTCCCCAATCAACTGTAGCAGTCATAGCACATCGCAAGGTTGTTTGAACAATCTTTCCTTTGGCAGACAGGTGTTGCAACCGTTTGGGGGAGGTGTCTCCATTTCCGAAGCATTGTGCACAAATGACGGGTACACACAAGGATGAGTCCTCCAAGAATAAGGATGTCGTTCATGTGTACATGGAGCTTAACATTGGTGTCACTGTGTCTAAGGTTCAATGATATCAACAAGATCATTGTCCGTCAGCAGCTCCGCACAGAGTACCGCCACTTGCCAGAGACAACTTGACTCGTTGTGCTGCAGAAGGCATCATTCTCAATCCTTCTCAAAAAGGTATAGTGACACCGGAGTAGATAGAACAGACTTTCAAGCAACGTTTGGGATAGTGCTTGGGACCTGGGATTTGTTTTTTTGCATTGCTAGGTTCCGTATGAGTTTTTCATCGCAGGGATTTTGACCTTTTGTCCGAGGATGAGACCAAGGTAACGTATCTTTTTCGAGACCCCGTTACCACTCCAAGGGCAGGACTCCAAGGCTGCAAGTGGTTTTATCAGTTTTCTTCACCTTGGCTGTCATCCCAGTTCTCATCCACACCACACCTGGCTGTTTCCCCCGTTCCGCAGCGCGTTGGTTGACCGTGCCACACGTTGTGCCGTCGGGTTGTGCGCGACCGTGCTCGAGGTATCGCTTTCCCCTTCCTCTACAACTCGCGGCCGCGCAAGGTGGCCATGGCACCCTACCATCATCAGGCGGTGGAGCGCCACGTGGCGGTGCGTGCGCCGTGGCTTTTGACCCCAGTGATGTGTGATATATTCTTGCGGTGCGTGATGTGTGCCTGGGCAAGGGCTGTGTGACTGTTGACTGGTTTCTTACATACCTTTCCAACCTGATATACTGGTCCCCTGTCTCCAGCTACACATCAGATATTGTATGAAACTGCCGGGAGGCCGGGCCAAATTGCATTGGGCGTGCCAGGGCCGTGTCCGTTGTTCGAGGACCGCAGCCGTCCCTCCCCAAAAGTCCAGAAGCCACAGGTAGTTTGTGGTTTGTGTGAAGATGAAAGGACTCTGTCAACACTTCATGTGTATTTTGCTTCTTTTCTTTGCCTTCTACCAGGCGTCCTGCTACTCCAAGACAAGTTCAGATATTCAAAACTATTCGTAAAGGATCGTAAAGGTACTTAATAATTACATATAATTACATATATATTAGTTGCCATAGTTGCGACATATCTACTTCATTCTACCCGTACCCCTCCCTGTCACTTTTCGATACTGATCACAAGAAACTTACCTGATGTTTCATGCGACAGCTCTTTGATCATGCCAGTCCGTGTGCTACATCAAAGCCGATGACCCCGATCTGCCAGTCACTGGGTATGCAAAAACCATTTCCTGCAGCCGGTGATGATTCGTGTGCATCACAGCCGGTCTGAGACCGGTCTGAGATTCGTGGAATACCTCTACAGCTCTATGATGTAGTGATACACTGTCGGTGTGAAGTAGTCGACTTTGTGTTTCGTCCACTGTCGGTGTTTCCATGAAGTCATCATAGCATGGCAGTTGGACCAACGGAGCGAAGCGCGCCCTGTGACACGAAGCGCTCGTGCAGCATGTTCGAGGTCACGGGCCCTGTAAGACTCTGCGTTTTCTGGAAAAACAACTAGCGTTTCTTCTGGGCATGGCGTGACGAGTGTGATGAGTCCTGACTAGCTCAGAAAGTTGAAAAGCCAGGTAGGTCGGATGTGACCTTCCATGATTGGAACCAAGGCCTTCTACTACGATCCTATCATCAATCCTTTGCCTGCGTGCCTCGTCAATGTGGAAGACCGAGGGACGTGGACCATGAACATGTTCGGTGTCGGGACATATTACACTGGTTTCAGAGTAGATGGCACAAACCTCAAAAGGTGGTTAGTTTATATGGACTCCTACATAAAAGACATCTTGGCGGTTGTGCCATCTACTCTGAAATCACTGTATATCACATTATATATGGGACAAGGGTCTTAATTAAGTCTGGCATGCTTTCTTGGCTTCAAGCATCTTGTGTCGCTAAGTTTTAGGAGGGTAATTGACTGTCCAGTCTCGTCAGTCTTGTTTAATTAGGGGATGATAAACACTCGTTCACCCGATACGTATGTTCTTTATACCCTCGTGACTTTACCAACAGCTAACATGGACCCTGGCCATCCCGATTCCAAGAAAGGGTTACTCCAAAATGGATCAACATGGCCATTCCACCGAGGTTCATATCCATCACAGGGTGCAGATCATTGATTGTATTAAAGGAGAGTTCCTATCCATCACCGAGCAGCATCATACGGTGAAATAGTGCTTCCATCGCTGGTATATGAATTTTGATCTCCAAAAGAAGACCCAACCGACGCCCGCACGGGCGAAGCCCAGCCCGAAGACCCGTCACGCGCAGGTACCGCGCGGTGGGACACCGCTCGCAAGATCAGTCGACGGACGATGACGAGGAGATCGAGAACTTCAAGCTGCCGGAAGATTGATGCTTGGCATCGTTGGTGTGGGATCCAGCAAAAAGAACCGCGAGCTCTCGTCGTAACGCTGGGGTAGCCAAGAGAAACGCCCGGATAGGGGGGTATGGATCAAATCGAACTTGGAATGTATGTCCCAAAGAGGACTATCGATAGATCAAAGCCGATGGGTGTCTCAGGATGGACACCGTGATATACCGTGATTAATTACTTGTCTCAGGTGAATCGTTTGAATTCAGTTATTTCAGTTTAACATGAATCCATTACAGGATCAGCCTAGCCATGTCAATCCTTTGTCCTTCTTTGGAACGTGCTTGTTATCCATGTGTATGAATCATCAGAAGACACATCTCAGATGATGCGAGAAGCAAAACCGACGCGACATTTAAAGGTCACATGGGACCAGGCTTAGACTACTGAAGGACCAGGAGCACCTTCGAAGTGTTCGCGCGTCGTACGTGTTCATCACTCACTCAGCTTTGCAGCTTCCGGACTATTTTCCGCCCAAGGCAAGCCGCTCTTGGAAGACACTCCGCTCTTCACTGACAGCACGGCGAACGGCATCACCTTGTTGCTGGGACAGACAGATAGAGCACGTCTTATGGGTGGGGTGTTTTATGGTGGGACTGGCCTGCCCATGCACTTGAGAAACAATTCATTCCAGATTGTTGACGGAAAACATGATCAAGAAGAGAGCCATGTCAAAACGCCCTAGTTTGGGTACTTCTGTTGGGGACTGCTTGATTGCAGCCCGTGTTGAGTGGTCTTTACGGCTAGCTAGTCTTGTCATTTTATTCGTATTGCTTGCAAACACTTTTGGGAAGACGGCCATCCCTAAGAATTAACTTCCACGCTCAAGTGATCAACTGTCCAGGACTGGATTTGTCCACAGTGGGTGAACTGGGCATGGCTTTCCTTTGTATTCTTGTCCCAGCAGATCTTTTTGTCTTAGGAGACCACGGGTGCTTCTCGCAAAAAAGTGGATATATAGACAAATACACAACTGCTATGGTCTCGAGTGCATAGAGCCACAGGGGAGGTTTTTGGCTAGAAGAATGCCATAGCCATAGCTATATTTATAGCATTTCATCCCCCCCCTCCTAGGATCCTGTAGACAGGATGCTGGCAGATTCCGCGCCCCCAAAACGAGCAACGACGGCCGAGGTACTGGGCTCCAAGGCCTTTCAACCTGCGGAGCGGCTACATGCGCCGTGCACAGGATGTGCCACTGGTGGGCCAGTGGTACAAGGAGAACTTTCAGAACCTCTTTTTTTGTGAGGATTGTGAGCCTTTCAAACAACAAGGCGAGGGGTAGAGCTTGCCTGGAAGAATTGATGGTATCCTCAGAGCACAGATGCTCCTGGTACGGTATTGAGACCGGAGGCACCCACATAAATACAAGTCACTAGACTAGTCTATACTAGGAGTCTAGGAACTTTGTTCTCAAGACTCTGCACACCAACCTCCCAACTTGTCATCCAAGTGCGCACGCCAGGAGCATTGTCCCTCCAACTACCCAGTGAAGGTCCGCGTGTCTTACCAGAAGCTCTTGAAGGTTTGGGTTTTGAGACTCGGCGGCTACAGGAACAAGAACGCTGCTAGGGGCTCCTGGCATCGCTACTAGGAGCAAGGACGCTACTAGGGGCTCCTGGCCGTACTACTAGGAGCAAGAACGCTGTTATTATTTATCGCCGACTTCAAGCGGTCCAAGCGCGGCACAAGTGGCAGCGCTGTGGTCACTGAGCGAGCTCGTGAGACGCAGTCGGCTAGAAAGGCCGGGCAACATCGCATGCCCGCCGGATAGGTCGCGAACTCGTCCAGTCGCGAACCAAAGATGCTACTCGATCAAGTGTTTCAAGGGATATCGAAAGACAAAAGCCACCAACCGGATTGAAAATACCCAAAGAAGAGCGATCCATCCCTTCAAACAAAAGATCTTCAAAACCAAAATGGCGGCAAAAGACCTGCAAAGATTTCCTGACCAGGCGTAGGGCACTGGTCATCAAAGGTCGTGTAAAATGACGATCTACCGGGAGGAGTTCAAACCTATTGCTCGAGCTCATAAACATGGGGAGAGGAAGGCCCAGCTCCCGAACAAGAAGGAAAACCATCTCAAACCAGCTGATGGCGTATAAGCCAGAATCACCAACACCACAAACGAACAATCTGTTTATGATCTCGCGAATGAACTCAGTACCACCAGGGTGGTTGTGTACAAAAAAGGTGGTATCCCAGTTGATTGGCAATCGCTCTGTACAGGAAACTAAAAAAGGTCGTCTCTCACGGGTAGTGGTCAGGTCAAGGTGTCCCTGAAAGGCAGGCGCAGCAGCAGCCGCAGCGGCTTCCTGGTCCTGCACGAAGACAGCCTTGTAAAACCTGAAGAGAACAGCTGTGCGCTTCAGCATGTTTTCATGATAGCCAATTGCTTTCATCCGAAGCTCCGCCAGCGAATGCGGCAGTGTTCGATTGGTGAATCCTGCCTGGACATCGACTGCAGAGTTCCATCTCTTAACCCAGTCGTGAAAGCCGTCTTCACAGCTTAAGTCCGTAAGGTGGGAGGGCCACCAATGAAAAATCGGCATGCAATCATGTAAATCATGCAGCAAATCACGGATGCGAAGCCAAACATCTTGGTTGCTCCAATGAGTTGGTACTGACATGGAGGCCAAAAGGTGGTGTACTCCATCAACTGTGTGTTTGGAGTCCACCCACAAAAAAGCCTGAACTCGAACCCGACTAAGCCAGTGGAGCGCTGAAAGAACCGCCGTTGCCTCCGCCCGCGGGATCGTCTGAGAGAGCCCACGGAGCCAGCCTGAGCTTAAAACCTTGCCGGCGGTAGCACTGGTAACGCTCCAGGAACACATGTTGAAGGCACTGACGGGCCCTTTGTGACATGAGCCATCTGTGAACAAATGATGCGGTGACAAGGCTTCCACACATTCAAACGAGCTGATGTCATCTGGCAAGTCCGCCAAGGCCAGCCACCATTCAGAAAGCCACGGATTCCGTGGACACAGGAGGTGTTGCTGGAAAGCGCGAGGCCAGGCATTGATGTCCTGTGGCCAATCCGGAATTGATTCCCGAAGTTGAGCTTTGAGTGGGCAGTCCAACCAATGTGTGACCGAATCAGGAACTCCACAATGAGGACAACCCGACTTGGAGACATCAAATTTGGCCTTCATGTCGTTGGCGATGAACGCCCCTGAATGCAAGGCATGTAGCAGTCCGCGGTCACCTGACTCCAGGGTCTTGCCCTGCTCATACATCAGGAAGGGGTCCAAATCATGGAGATCTGTCATAGATTTCCGATGCTGCAAGGACGGAGCTAAATGTTGCAACCAAGCGTCCAGAAGAAGCATGGAAAGTTGTGACCAGTCAACCAAAAGGACGTCAAAGGTGAGTCCGAAAGTTGTGGTGACATATGGAGGAGCCAGACTCCAACCCAAGGATTCACAAAGTACATGAAGCTTTGAAAAGGGCCCCGGGCAAAGCTTGCCTGCAAAAGTGAATTCAAAGTGTTGCCAAGCTGGCTTTATGTTGGAGTCTTTTGACACAAGACGTCGAAATGTTTGGAAGGTCCGTATCACCTGATAGAATCCAGGGTCAGCAAGAGGCTGGTGCGACAGGGTGAGCCGCAGGGCCGTGTTCACGCCAGCAGTCTTCTGCTTCAAGCATTTGCAGGCCATAGTACGGAGATGTCCAAGGTGACTGTCCGCAAAGAGACATGCTTCAGCTCCATACAGTGCTTGAGGCCAGAGAGACAAAGGAAGAATGGAGATCTTCTGAGCAACTGGTGCACGGGATGCTGTAAGTCTTCCCCATTTAGCTTCCAATGATTCAAACCGAAGACGCAAGTGGTGATTCCGCAGCATATTGCAAAAAGTCATACTGCCACCCAAGTCCCTTGCTGCAAAATTACAGGCCAGTCCAAGAGTGCGTAGAGTATGCCGATCCGCTGTGTGGAGAGCCCATGTGAAGGTTTTGTTGGGATCAGCTTCCATCAACCACATAGCGAGGAAGGCCTCGTTGGCAAAGTGTGCTCCCACGACATCTTCAACTGTTGAGCCCATCAAAGAAAGATTGTCAACGAAGCTGAAGGAGTGGACATTTGGACGGAAGAACCTCATGTATATGTGCCAAGCATAGTTCAGCTGGACCATGCCGTAAACTGACATGGCATCTCCTTCCGGTAGTCCAACCAAGGTAGTTGTGGCTTCGCTCAACTGGTCATGTACCAAAAAAGCACGTGTGCAGCGAGAGAGGAAATCCTTCCAAAGTCCTGTGACTTGCTGTGGAGCTCCCAGATGGTCAGCCAGAAAGAAGGTATGTTGGCGAGGGATCCGGTTGAAGGCTTTGATGAGGTCAGTGCTGAGCCCAACAAGAGGACGTTGGTCATGGAGAGCAAGCTCCATATGACTCTGCAAGGTCCACCAAAGCTGCGTAGCCTCTTTGGTGGGCATGAAGCCAAACATGGAGTCTGGGGCATGGGCGGTCAAGAGCTTCAGGAGTTGACGAGATCGGATGGAACCCCATGTGCGGTAGACCTGGCTGAAGATCACAATAGGTCTGAATCCATTAGGGTCATGTGCACCTGCTTCCTTGGCCAGACAAAACACAATGCCATGTAGCATCTGTTCCGGCCAGCCAAGTTGTTGGTCTTCAAGACGGTTGAGCCACTGCGCCAGTGTACCATGCCAATGATCCGGAAGGTGAAGGAGGTCGACATGACCAAGGCCATCAACTCCTTTAGCTGCATGGGGCTTAAAACGTCGAAGCCCTGCTTTCCATTGAGCAACTGTGATGGGTGGTAGTGTCAGTCGCAGCTTCGGAACGAAGGCCTGAATGAATCTGGTAACACGCTCCCAACAGTCTGCAGGAACATCTGAAAATGCACACCAACGGGCTTTCCAAAATTGAAGAAGAGATTCATGGATCTGATCTGCCTTGTGGAGAAAACGGCGTTGGATCAGCTGAGCCCCGATTTGACGTGCTTCAGGGGGGGCTATTTCACACACATTCTGGTCAATGCCAGAGACATGAAGCTCTTGTCCATCTAGGGACCAAGTGGAGGTTCCCAAAGCAATGTCCTTATCCAGCATAACCAGTGATGACAATGGATCAATGTCAAGTATTTCATATTCCAGATCATCCCAGAACAGAGTGATGCGTTCAGGAGGGGCTGGCTTGAGATCTTGATGGAGTGCGAGAAGTGTGCGGTCATAGCGGAGGGCAAAAAGTCGCCGCTTCTGCGAGAGATGCCAATGCTCAAAAGAGCGGAAGGCCTCCAAAAAGACGTGGTACATGTTGTCAGCAATGGCAAAATTAGGTGGTGCTTGTGGCACTCTTGAGGGTTAAATCCATGTCGAAAGCCCCGAGCTTTACGAATGGACATCCAGAGCTCCAGCCGAGCTGTCAGGGCGGTCGGATCCTGCCGATTGGCTTTAGCTGCATGCGCGTAGCTCTGCAACCTCCGGAGCTGCTTAAACCAGTTCTGCACTGCACTGCCCACCTGATCTGATCGGAGTTGAACTTCAGAACGTCTACTCGGAGCACATGTTCTGGCTATTGGAGGTCGAAGATGCGGAGTCACTTGTTGACACCGGCCACGTTGATTGGATTGAAGTCTTCGGTCCGGTTGTCCGATGATATGGCCATCGAGACTAGCCTCAAGAGCTGCACCAAAAGCTGCATAGTCGGCAGTAGGATTGTCTGAGGCAAAGAGATGCTCACTGGGTACTGAAGTCCAGGTGTCATCAACTGAGTCCCAAGGAATAGCTGAAGGGCGATGCCAAAAACGACATGAAGCCAACAAAGCAGGGACCTCTATGTCAACATGAAGTGAGGCGTGGTCAGGAAAAACATCTCGAAGACCAATGTCCCTCGCAAGCTCGATGAATTCCGGACTCATCCATATGTGGTCGCTGACTGCTGAGTGCTTAGAGGTTGGTTGAATGGTCCAACCCCAATGATCATGAGCAAACTGCTGCAAGTTTTGCCATCCCAGCCGTTGCCAGATGTCGAAAACTTCTTGATCCATGCAGTCCGAGTTCATGTCACCCAGAATGACCCTTGGGCCGGAGCAGCCAAAAACAATTTCACCACTGAGCACATGAAGAAGTTGATTGTTCAGCTGCTTGGAGTTTGGCCATGTCGGCCCTCGTGGGTAGCAGTAGACATTGCCAACTGTCACCACCAGCCCTGGGAGCACATGACGGGTAGCTTGTAATCGGCCGCAATTGTACTCCTCACTGGGACAAGAAAGCTGAAGTCGTTGAGCTGGAGGGTCACTGAGGACGGAAACACCACACCAGGCCCCCGCCCAAGAGGAAGAGGGACGAACTGGCGCTGCGGCTCCATGGAGGACAGTCGGAGCACGGCCCGCTGCACGGGCTAGCCTTCGGAAGTTCTTGATGCAAATCGGCTGAGTGAAAGTGGACAACTGAGTTTCACTGAATGCCCAAATACCTGGACCAAGTCCCAAGGCATGAACCTCCTTGCGAAGTAGTCCAGCCGGATTCGAAGTTCCTATGCGTAGCACTTCAATGTCTTCAGGACCTGGATGGCTG